TGCTCCCAAAATCACCTCTACACCTAGAGCTGTAGGTATGTGACTGGTAGTAATGTTAATGCTGTGAACTCCCTGGAGTTCCATGGGTGTGCTGCAGCCTGTGACCTGCCAGCCCCCGTGGATGTCACCAACAGCCAGGGATGCCTCAGTGACCCCAGCTCTCAGCTCTGGGGCAGTTGCTGGGGGCTGTTTGCAGGCAAAAATCCAGGTCTCAGTGGGGAAGCAGAGACTTTGTGCCTTGGCCAGACTTGCCAGGACCGTACCTAAAAGCAATGTTTCTCTGCCAGAGGAGCTCTGACTGCAGATGTGTTGTATTTGGGTGCTTTTCTCGTTCCTCACCGTGGTAAAAAGGTTCTGCTCAGTGATGGGGACCTGGGGCAAGTCCATTTTATTTTTTTCTGCCACAGCACCATGTGCTCACCATGGTAAAAAGGTTCTGCTCAGTGATGGGGACCTGGGGCAAGTCCATTTTGTTGTTTCTGCCACAGCACCATGTGCTCACCCTTCCAGACTGCACAACCACCACTGCTGCTTCCCACCCTGCACACAGCCACAGGCTTTCCTTCCCTGCACCCTGCTGTGGCAAAGGCTGTGCTTAAGGGAGCCCTGTGTTCCCCCAGCACAGGGGACAGCATTGTCCCCTCTCCATCCTTGTGGAGGGCATGAGGCATCACTGGATTGCCAGAAATCTGTAGGGCTGGGCCAGTCTGAGACTGCCTAAAAGGTTTGCTGCCCTAGGGATCGTGCCATGCTTGATTTTTCCTGTTCTGGGTTTAGGAAAGTCACCAGTGCCAGAGGTTGCACAAAGCAAAGCCAAACCAAATCTCAAAATGAGGGAAAAGGAGGGTTCCTTTTCCCATGGGGTGTGCTGGGGGTAAACCCAGTCAGATTGTAGGGCACAGATTAGGGCTTTGTCAAGTGTTTACGCTCTCCTGGTGGCTGCAGGATCTGGAGAAAGTTTGCATTGTGCTGAAGGAGAAACTTTGAATTGTTGAATGAGCCCTGGCTGGTAATGGCTGTGTCAGAGTGTGCTCTTGTGTCTGCATCCATGCCATGCAGCTGTGGAGCTGGCAGGAGTGGAAGCAGGATCTGAGGCACGGGTGGACACTGACTCTGTGGAGCAGCAGCACTTTTCAGAGCAAATGCAGTGTGCCAGGCAGCCAGCAGTTGCAGTGCTCATCCTTTTGGCAACAAACGTTTGAGCTCTACCTGGACTGAAGGTGGAGTCTGTTCTGTTTCAAATATCAGAGGGATTCTAGACTGCCAAGAAAGTGCTGAATGACTCTGGACAAAGGGGAGGTGTTTTCCCTAGACTGAGGTAAGGACTCTGCTTTGCTCTAATGCTGAACTTGGTCTTTGCTCAGTATAAAAATCTCAGTTTCTGTGTAATGCAAAGCATTTTGCCACCCTAATGTGTTCTATTGATCTACTTTTCCTGCCTCTCAGCTTACACAAGCTTTTCTGGTGGTGGGCCGGGCTGTTTCATAGCGATTCCCTAGAGAGACAACAGCTGGCAAAGCAGTTGTTTCTTTCTCAAAGCTGCAGATTTTACAAGCTGCATTTACCCCAGGCCTTTCCAGGTGTGATCACCTCATGGCTGTGCATTCACTGGCTCGGCCCCCGTGCCTGGCTGCACACACCTTGGCCCCGTAACCGGCCGGAGCGCCGGCTGAGCGGTAGCTGGAAACAAACCAAGCTGTGTGGCTCCCCCAGTCCTTTGCCTGGCCCCAGCTGAGCATCTGGAGCACCAAGAGGGATGACTCCTGTGCCCTGCAGGGTCACCCCAGGCTGGAGCACTGCGAGGGGGGGACGGGAGCGGTCTCCAGGAGGGCTCTTCCTTTGGACAACTGGTGTGACTGCCTTGCGTGTCTTTCAGAGAGGGCATGCACCAACCACTGTGGACCCCTTGCCTTCTTGCTGCAAGCAAGGATCTCCTGAAGGGATGCTGGAGCAGGAGTCTGCTGTGCAGGTAGAAGGGGGGAAGGGGCGCGTTCGTTGTACTCTAGTGGGCTCTAGGCCCTACAAAGAGCCTGGAGCTGCTGTCACCAGACCTCATCTGCCACTTCAGTTCCATCTCGGTGTCCTCCATTTGGGACTGTGCCCAGCCAAGGTCTGCAGGGACCTGTGAAAGACCTCAGGTCTTCTGCTCGCTGTCTCCAGCCCAGCCTGCTCTGTGTGGCACAGACACAGAGACAGCGTGGCTCTGGCCACAGAGCTGTTTCATTTTGCTTTGTACTGCTGAAGTTCCATCTTCCCTTGAACTATCTGAGGAGCAGAGTTCATGCACACGGGCTCCTCCCTGTTAACAGCTCACAGATGTGTTTATGAAGCGTGGCTCAGCCACGACATTCACCAAACACTGTGCCCAGCCTGGCAGCTCTCCCCAAGCTCCTGACGTAGGAGGACCCACAATCTCCAGACTCCAGGCAGGAGCTTCCTTGTTGTGCTGGCTTGCAGTCAGGTGTGTGAGTGGTGATAGGGAGCAGTCCAGCTGCTGATAAACCTCTTCCAGCCTGCTCGTGCCTGGTTTGGCTGCAGCACTCAGCACCAGTGGGTTGATCAGAGCTGCAGACCCTGGCTGTCCAGGGTGAGCTGACCTTCTCCTGCAGTGATGACATGCATGCATTACCTGAGGGTGAGTACTTGGGCACGGCTGGGCAGAAAAAGAGGAGAGGATTCAGGTCAGCTGCTTTACGTGAGGGAGTTTAGGTATGTTCTGGCTGGCAATATGAACTTCAGTCCAAAGATAACGCCTCTTCTCCCCCAACAATTGCTGCTAGATGGACCTCAGAGTAGCAGGAAGGGTTTGCTGCCCTTCTTAGGTCATTGGTGACTTGCCTAAGGTCATCCCTGGAGCCAGTGGCAGTGCCTGGCATTGAAACCAGGTCCCTCAGTGCTGCATTTGCCTTGTCCTTCTCACCACTGCTTTACTGGGAGAAGGGAGGTGCCCCAGGTGTTGCTTTTCTTGCAGTATTGTGATGGTAAATGTTGATTCCTGTGATGGTAAATGTTGATTCCTGTGTTGTCACCTTTCTGCCCTGGGCCAGGTGCACAGGATGATGTTTCTCTCTCAGCACAGCACTGTGCTGGCTCTGCTTGGAGCAGGTGGCTGTGCTGCAAGGGCTTTGCTTGCATGTCCTCCCCAGGGATCTGCTGGCAGAGATCTATTACCAGGCCTGTGCTTCTGGTGCTTTTCTCTCAGTGCTTTCTTCCCTGCATGGCTTCCAGAGGTTGCACCCCACGTGCTGGCCAGGCAAGCCTGGCTTAGGGCTCTAGACAGTAAATCCATGGTAGCCACAGCACAAGGACTGCACTGTGATACCACCAGCATGCAGTCCCCAGCAGAAAAACCCCTTCTAAGCACTTTTGTTCGTGCAGGGAAAGCAGGTGTGGACTAGTCCTGCTGGAGGAGAGGCAGGGAATGAGTCAGAGCAGGCTGCAGAAATCAGGAGCAGCTCATAAGCATCACTGGGAAAGAAAAGGAAGCTTCTCACAGGGCACCAGGGCAGATCCTGGTGGTGTGATCTGCACTCCAGCACCTCACCTGAGCATGAGGGCACTGACAGAGCCCAGGTCAGGTTGGGGCTGGTCCAGAAGCTGTGTCTTAGTCCCAGGCTGGCATCAGGCAGGCTCAGAGCATGTCTCTGATCCCCCCTTGCACTGTCAGCATGCTGGAGCCCTCTCAGCTCCCCAGTGTTCATTGCACAGACCTGCCTGAACCTTGTCACGGTCCAAAAAAGGCAGAGCATCAGGAAAGGAGGAGAGAGAAAGCCATTGCTCTGCTGCTGCATCTCTCTTGGCAGCTGTAAATGTTGTTATGTTATTAGAAGAGGTGTAGTGCCTGAGCAGAGCTCTCATGTATTGTCTTCAGTCACAGTCTATATATTTTTTGATGAGGTAAAAATAGCTTTTCTTTTTCAGGATATGCAGAGAGCAGAGGCTCCTGCTAACATCAAAGGAGAGTGACAGCTTTCCCCTGGGTGTGCGTGGCCTCAGCTGGCAGGAGCAGGAGCTGTGTTAATGCTTGCCTCAGATGTTCTGGTCTCTTTTTCCTGTTAACTCTCTGGACCAGCCTCTGTTTCACTCTCCTCTGCTGCTGGACACCCAGCACTGCACTTCAGAGGCAAAGTGATAGTTTGCAAACGACAGAACAAGACCTCGAACATGTTACTTAGAAAATCCATTAGGCAGCAGGCAGGTACTGCAGGCTTTCACAGAGCTTGCAGGCTGCAGCCCTCCGGGGGATCCTTATCAGAAAGATCACTCTGCTCTCTAGGGGCATCTCCTCGCTGCCTGGCTCTGTGCAGATTAAGCTGTTTGTGATATCTGCCCTCCTCACAGCTCTGATCCTGTTCCAGCTGCAGCAGGCGGCAAAGGGGACCCGTGAGTGGGGAAGGAAGGAGTCAAGTGGCAATGCAGGTGTCTGTACCTGAAAATGCTCAGCAGGGACTGAGTTAACCTTTACCCTGACCTGCACCTCCAGGGACAGCCCAGAACCACCTCTCCTGTTAAGAGTGCACAAAAATGGGCTTCCCAAAATCCCATTACTCATGATTATGTAATGGTGGAGGATTGTGCATGCTGGAGAGGCCATTCTGATGCTGGCACTGGAAAGCTTGCCCTCTCTTCAGCACTGGAAAAATGCTAATTGACAGGTTACTTCCCTTCCCATGAACCTGCCAGGGGCCTTCCTTCCTTCCCTCCTTCTTCTGGCTTTGGGATTTCTCCTTTGCCAGTGGTGTCAAGTTCTTCTCCACCTCTATCCTTTGCACGGATAAACAGATCTTTCCCTTCCTGCATGCTCTGATTCACCTGCTGCAAGATGGTTGAGCTCCCCCTTGCATCTGGATCCTGCTCTGGGGGTCTCTGCTGGGTGTAGCAGCCACCAGCCTCTGTGCTACATGCTTTGGGGCTGTTGTGAAACCTCCACCAAGCAGAAATGAGCATGGACAAAGGGTTTACTCAGGCTGGTGCATGAAATGAGAGCAAACTCACTTGGCAGATGCCTTCCAGAGATGACTTCTTGTGCCTTGACTCTCATCATGGCTCCTATTAAGATCTGCAGATGTGGGCAGAGGTGAGGATGATGGGAGAATGGAACTTGAACGTATGGATTTATCTCTCTTGGGTCATGTGGACAGGGGTGAGGATGATGAAAGAACAGAATTTAAGCAACTGGGTTTATCCTTTCATCAGATGAATTTTCCCAATGCTTTTTGCTTTTCTCTTTCTTCTGGGTTTGCAGTCTCTGCCTGTTCTCTGTGTTCTGCTGGCTGACTGCCTGAGGCTTTGCTGCTGTGGCCTCTCTGGAGATGCTGTGTTCTGCTGAGTGCTGCCTTCTCCTCAGAAGGCAGAGACCTGCCAGTAGGTTTTGTTCCTGCTGCAGGGCCCACTGAGAGCGTCCAGTTTCTGTTAATACAGAGAGGAGAGAGTTCCTGTGAGAGAGACAGCATGGCTTCTGTTTCTGAGCACTTGGAGTTGAATCTCCTATCTTCCCTGATTATCCTGTGGGGACCCTAGGTGCTATCCCTAACTGCTCTTAATCCTAGCAGCTCTTTTAGTGTGTTTTGAGGACTGACAAATTCTCCTCATCTGATGAGAAAGGACTGAGGTTATCACCTGCAGAATTGTGTAGTTGATATGAGAGTTCCAAATGAGCAATGGCTCCAGACACATTCCTAGGTTGGACAGTTAAAAGTAAACCACTACACTGAGGTGAGGTTTTGGTGTTTCTGCTGGAAATAATGCCTCAAAGGTGAGGATCATGCCCACTGTTGGACACAAGCAAGGAAATATCCAAGCAAATGGCAAGGGCTGTTGTCTTTGGCAAGGGTTTATCACACATCCTCAGCTGGCAGCGCTGACTTTAGGTTCCAGAACACTTGCACTAGTAGCTGGAAGTAACTGGATGACCTCTGAGATGTGAGCTGGACCTTTCCACAGCATCTAGACAGGATGCCCACAGCAATACATGGCTTGGTGCCAGGATCAGGGTTTGCATCTCACTGCCAGCCCTGGGGTTCTTTGGCTCTTGGTTGCTGTGTGCTGCTCAGCCTTCTGGTGTTTCCTTGCTGTTTCCTCCTGTCTGCTGCTCCATGAGTGCGTGTCAGCTTGGCTGAAGAGACAAGTGGGCAGGCAGGGTAAAGAGGGCAATGCAGCAGGAGGAGTGTGTGCCAGGCTGGAGTGGTGTGGGGAGCTGCTCCTCAACTGCCTTTGTGTCCCAGAAAACGCTGTGAGATCAGCACAAGTCCCCGAACTCATTTGTGCTTGGAAATCATCTACTTGCAGCATTTAGCAGCTCATACAGAGTGGGCTCCTGCCAAGTGTGGCCAGCTTGAGCAGGAGCAGGCAATGCTGGGACCCTCCCTTTTGTTATCAGTGATGAGCAGCAGGAGCTTGTGGGAGCTCCTCCCTGGGTGTGAGTGAGGGCAGGAGCTGCCAGAAGAGATTAGAGCAGGACTCTGTGACCAGAGGCACAGCAGGCTTACAAACATCTCACTGCAGCCCTTGAAATCCAGCCTGAGCCTCTGGTTTGACTCCCCCTTGTGCTTGGTAGCACAACGCAATGGGCTCATGTGGTTCCAGGCTAATGGCATCATTGCTGTGAGAGGAGGAGGACACCTGGGAAAAGGAACACAAGAAGCCTCTCCTCAGGGCCAGGAGAGGGTTTCATGAGAATAAATTGACTCTGAAACCAGGACAGAGGGAAAGGGAAAATTTAGATTGTCAGCAGACGGGAGATTTTTCCTGAAAGAAGAGAAAGGGAAGGAGAGGAGAAGCACAGTCTGATGTGCTGGCCTAAGTTTTCGACTTTAGAAGGTCTTGGAGCACTTAACAAAGTCCTGATCTGAGGCTTCTCTCTTGTAGAATTGCTGGCAGCAGCCTCCTGACACTTCCCAGCTTGGATGTCTGTAGAGCACGATGCCTGTGTGTAGGATTTAGCAGCCACCTAAGAGTGCAAGAGGTACCCAGCAGCAAGTGAGGCAGCTTATTTTCTCCCCTGGAATATCTCCTTCCTGGAGAATTGCTGGGAAAGCGAAGGAGAATTGGAAATAAACTCTGCAAGTTCCAAATAAAGGAGACCCGTGGAAGCAGCTGCTGTGTCCTGGGGCACACAGGGAGCGAGTGAGGCACGGCTGTGCTGAGCTTTGTGCTGGTGGGTGGGTGGTGATAACTGCAAGGTGTGTGTCTGCTGGCTGAGCTGGGATGGTGCTGACTGGGATGTGTGTGTGTATCTTCTCCACGTGCACATCTCCTTCTGTTCACGGGGTCTTGCAGCCCGTGCTCCCTTTTGCTGAAACTCAGGAGGTGGCAGTGACCCAGCCCGTGCTTCCATTTCCTGGGGAGCAGATTGCCCTGAGCATAGGCAGGCAGTCCCACCCTGCAGGCTGACATCAGAGGGACAATACGACTGTGGACCTGCTTTTAGCACCTGAGCCGAGCTATTCCATCTTCTCTGGTGGAATGTGTGCCCGGATGGCTGCTGTCTGATGCCCTGCATCTCTCTGTGCATCTCTGGAAGGTACATGCTGAGCTTGGGGAGCAAAAGGCACACTCCAGCCTTTGGCCCCAGCACCCAGAGGGTCAGGAGGGAACCCCAACCCCTCTCCTCTGTGGCAGGAGTTACCTGTGAGTTGCCAGGCGTATCTGTGGGGCTGCTTTTCCTCTGCTGTTCCTGTGGTGGTACCTGCAGCTCTGACCCCCTCCCTGCGCTTGGCAGCAGTCATTTGCTTTCCGGAGGTGGCTGGGTATTAAATATCCTGTCTGACACAATAATGGAGGGAAAATGAACAAATTCCATTAGCAGTTGGCGATCCCTGCAGGGTCTGCATTGGAGAGAGGACGGAGCCTGTATTTTTAGATAGAATGCAATGTAACTTACTGGCTCTCTCAAAGCTGGGGAGTAGATAACCAAGGAGGGAGAGAGGGGACACCAGGCTCAGGTTTCAGCCGAAGTGCCGGGCTATGGCAGCACGAAAGGGCAGGTCCGGTCCAGACGTGGCTGTGAGTATTCAACACACTTCTCCTTCGTGCCCACAGAGACCTCTGCTTTGCTTTTCTGCTTGCTTTCTGCTTGTGGTCTCTGCTGCTGGGTGTGCTGGGGCTTTGGGAGCCCCTTTGCTGCAGGGCCACGTAGAGTTTTACCATTTAATCTTCAGAGCTCCATGTGTGTCCCGTGGATGACAGAGCCTGGCTGAGCTGTGCTTTGATTTTCCAAGGGTTTGCTGCCTTGTCGTCGATCCTGACCTGAGAAGCAGAGGCTTCTAGCAGTGTCTGGAGTTGGAAAAGCTCTTTGCATTCCGCCTGTTGCTTGAAGCTGTCAGTGTTTCCTCACTGGAGCCCAGACAGCACAGAGCGTGAATGTGCACTTCTAAGCACGACGCTGCTGTCGCCTCCAGCCTCTCGTGGCTGATCCTTCTGTGTGAGCAGAGCACTGAGGTGTCTCCTCTGCACTCACAGCCTCCCAAAGCCACAGCCCCAGTGTGAATCTGGGGGCTCTTCCCTCTCCTCTGAGCTGGAGGCAAGCAGAGCCAGCTGGAGCAGGAGGTCATGAGATCAGCACGTGTTCCCCCTGCACCATGGTGGGGCACGCTGGTGCTGCCCTCCACCAGCTGTCCTTCTGACCCACGGGCTGCCCCAGAGGGCACAGGGCACCTTGCCACCCTGCTGGTGGCCTGGCCTGAGCCCTGTGGGCTCCTCCTCACCCTGTCTGTGAGCTCATACCCAGGGCATGGCTGCCTTTCTCTGTGCTGGGAGTGCCAGGCAGAAAGGAAGAGCTGGGGGAGGCAGGTGGAGGGGACCAGGAGGCATCTGAGTTGTGCTGCTCCCAAGTCCCAATTCAAACGTCTGAGACTGCAAAGAGAAGGGAAGAGAGGAGCCCTGAGCCTGTGTGGTGCATCATCCTCCCTAATGTGCCTCCAGTGTTTTTGTCTCTGCCTGTGTTGCTTCCAGCTCCTGTCCAGGAGCTTCCTAAGCCTGGATGCTCCTCTGCAACCAGGCTGTGGGCAATACAGGATGGCTTGGGGTGGCAGAACAGAAGCTCTCCTAGCACAGGAGGTCCCTTGGTCAGTCCTGATGTGAGTGGTACGAGCAGGGTTCTGATTTTATCTTGGAGCTGAAGACAGAGGAGTGTGTCCTGCACCCATGCCATGGATGTTGTGTGGCTCTTGGCTGCAGAGAGCCCTTTGGGCTGGCCCAAGCAGGCACATACCAGCTCCAGTTCAAGCTCCCAGACTCACAGACCCACATCACTGCATTTCCACCCTGTTCTCCAGCTTCTAGTGAGCCATGCCATCGTCTCCATTTGCTGCCTCACACTGCTCAGTGGTGTTGCTGAAAGTATTGCTGTGCCTTGCCTGGGCTGGCTGTGTTGTAGCAGGGAAGCACTGCCAAAAAAGAGAGTTGTGACTTCCACAGCTGTGAGGTGCTCAGCTGGGGCTCTTGTCCCTGCTGCCAGCACACCCAAGCTCACTGCTGGTGCTACTCAGTGGCTCCTGGAGGAGGGCAGGGGTGGGCTCACTACAGCTCCATCAGTGCAGCTCCTCAGCCCAGGCACAGAGGGATTTCCTGGGCCAAGGGAGGTGGCATGGTGGCAGGAGTTCCCTCCCTACTGTCCCCACAGTGTGATGGGGTGATCTGCAGACCTTCTGCCCCATTATCTGGATGCTCTTCATTTTAAGTCCAGGTCCCAGCCCTTCTTTTTCCTGCCTGATTTGGGGCACCTCAGCCTGTCCCTTCAGTTCCCACTGTGACTTTCCTGGCCTCTGCCTTTTCTGCCTGGTGTGTGTAGTTTTGTTCTCTGCAGCTGAGTGAAGAGTTGACCCAGTGCTGGTGGTGGGGGAGAACAAGGGGGCTCTGAGTTTCATGCTTTTTCTTTTTGTCCCCAAGGCTGATGCTGCAACCAGTTTCTTGAGAGCTGCAAGATCTGGGAATCTGGACAAAGCCTTGGATCACCTCAGGAATGGGGTAGATATTAACACCTGTAACCAGGTAGGTGAAACACAAAGGGCTTCTGGTACTATCTCTAGTTCATTGAAAATGTGGCTGAGCAGAGGGCAGACCTGGAGCACTTGTCTTTGGGGCCAGGAGGGCAGCAATAGCTATAAAGATCTGGGGAGCCTGGATGTACAGGCTGGAGCATAGCAAAGGACAAATTAACAGGTAAGCAGAGAGGGCTCCTTTAGTGTGACAAGCAAATGGGACAACTGGAAGAAGCTCAGAGGGCAGAGCAGATAGCTGTGAAGAGTAGCACAGTGGCTGGAGCATCACAGAAATGGCTCGTGGGGGTTATTCCCCTTGCCTGCAGTGCTGAGGTTTTTGGATTCCTAGAAGTTGCAGTTTACCACGAGCAGTGAATGTTTGCAAAATGCCAGTTGTGGTGGTTTGGGAGGTGCTGGGCAGGAGGAGCCCTCCTCATCCTGCACAGAAATAGGTTTGTGCAGGAGCAAAGAGCTGCAGGCGCTGAGGAATTGTTTGCACATCATCATCAGAACATTCTGTATCTGTGTAGCTGCCAAATGCAAGTGGCTGAGCCTGAACTGGGGCAGATGCTGTAGGGACAGATTCAGGGGCCTCAGGCTGAGCAGGGGGAGCAGGCAGGCTGTGTGCTGTCCCTGTTTTCTGGAGCAGTGGTTGCTGGGGAGGCTGACTCAGCAGGTAGCACAAAGGCACACTCATCTCCTTCAGTACCAAGCCCCCAGAGCAAGTGGAGCTCAGACCTGATTTGTGCTGCAGCAGCCAGTGCAGTTACTGGGGACAGGCTCCCCCAGGGCAAGCAGACATGGACATTCACTCATCCCAAGAGGAGAGGGAGGATTTCTACATCCCCTGGTCCTGTAACGCTCCAGCCCAGAGGGGTGTGGGGTTCTGGAGAGGGCTCTGTAAAGAATTACAGCAGGGTGACTCATCCACAAGCTAAAGATGATGGCTTTGAACTTCTTCACCAAAGAGAAGGTCTGTCATCAGCTGTCTCCACTGACTAGCTTCAAGTCCTGTTTCCAACCAGATTTCTGGTGCTGGTGAGGGTATTTAACACTTTGATGGAAAGACAATGGCTACAGCAGTATGAGGCTCTTCTCTCAGTGATGTCTTTGCACTGGTTCCTGCCATCTCCCTGAGGTTAGATGGCACTTTGGGGTTTCCTTCTGAGGAATATCAGACCTGTGGGAAAGGTCCAACCTCACATGTCCTGTATAGAATAAAGAGGGATATATGTGGTCAGACCTATCCCACAAGTCCTGTATTCTTGCTCAAGTTCAGAGACCTTGACATGCCATCTGATCTTCACCCACCGATTCCACCTCCTTCATTGCTGCATCCGTGTCTCCATCGTGCACCTTTCGTGTTTCAAACTCCAGCATGGTCCCATCTCATCCACGAGGAGCTGGAGGACTGAGGATGAGTGCACATTGCTGCCAGGACTCTCACCAGCTGGGAACAGCATCGTGAGGGCACATGGGTGCCCGGGAGATGGTCTTTGTTGAGGTGGCCAGTCCTGATGGGCAGTCCCTGCTTTGGGACAGGCTGTGTGTGAAGTCTCTGTGTTATTCTGTAGGGCTACATTTGTCACATTGGTAGCTAGTGACTGGGATTTCTGGGAGTTATTTAGTGAGGAAAATACAGCACCTTTCAAATGATGCACACCCTGTGGCAGTTTTGGGTCAGATGAGCTGTCAAGCCAAAGCAAATGTGCAAAACAGCCTGACTTGTTCCTGGAGCAGAAATACCAATGGGCCATCGATGGAAACAATCTTCTGTGCTTCTTGCACAACTGTTTGTTACAGGTTAATGATTCATCACATATTTATAGCATTGAAACGGTTATTTATGAATCCTTTGCATAAAAGGGCTTATGGTCTGAGGGGAGCATCTGTGGTCTTCTCTCCACTTGCTGGTTATGTGAGTGTAACTGAGAAAAAGCTTGTGTCTGTGGCCACTTACACAACTTGTGAGGTGAGGGTGTCAGTGATTATCTGTCTGGGGTTGTGTAGGGGTGTCTTTGTCAAAGAAACAGGGCTTGGCCAGAGAAGATGGACTCAGTGTAGCCAGACGTGGCTGAGGAGCATTTCCTTTCAGTGGCACTGCTCTGGGGGTGTTACAGCACTCCCACTTCATTTCCCCTTGCAAGCAGACCTTTTGTGCTTGAGAGAACTGTGGAGCTGGTGTGGTGAGGAACCTGTGGGTTTTTAGATTTTTTGCTCTTTGTGCTGTAATCAGAGTTGAGCAAAAGAATCTGTGACTCTTCAGGGCAACTGGTGCTTTGAGTGAGAAAGAGTGGAAAACCCTTTTGCAGTCTAACACTCTTGAAGCAGTTGTGAGTTTAACTGGAGTGTTGAGGGATGGAACTGAGCCTCCGTGGGCATTTTCTGCTCCCCTACCAATATTTAGGTGGGGATGAAGCATTTCTGTGAAGTCCAGAGTTGAAACACATGATTGGAAGGTGGAGCACTTGGGCAGGAGCAGGTGCCATGCAACAACACTGTGTAGGGGTGAGTAAACCCAGCACATCCACCTGGGAGAAGTGAGGAAAAAGGAGAAAAAGGGGCAGCTGAAAATGCCTGCAGGTATTTAACCTCTTTTCTAGCAAATATCCCAGCCCTTTTGTTCACATCTGGGAAGTGGAAGGTGTCAGAAATAGCAGAGCAGAAGCTGTCTTAGCAGCCTTGAGGATGCTGTCTGACCTGGCACTCCTCCTTCTGACAGCCTGGGGAGGATAAAGGGGCATTGGCCAGTCCTCTGCTCTTCAGGTTCCACGTGCAGGAACAAATGCAAAAAAGGAAAAAGCTAAACTGGGGCAGATGCAGAGATGCTCCTGAGAAGTCACTTGAGCTTTTTGGGAGCTTCTTGAAACTGGTAGAGCTTAACAGTGACACAGCCAACACCTTCTCTACACTCTTTGCTGCAGCTGAGCTCTGGGGGAACAAAGCCCACCACGGGCTGCAGGACAAGGTGCTGGTGGGCAGTCTGAAAGCCAGGGAGAAGGCAGCTTCTGGCCTGGAGGCTCACAAACTACTGTGAATTAAATTGGGCTGCTGCTTGATAAAATCATTGTCCAAAGCAGGGCTTCTCACTGCACATCTGTCTGTGTAAATGGTAAAGTTTATGGTTTGTATGTGCACCTACACTGCAGTGGTGGTGCATCCTTGCTGTGGACTGTGCACAAAGCTCAGCTCTGTGCTTTAGGTGTGAAAAACCTGACTGTGAGGAGGGGCACCCCGTGGAAAGTCACTTGAGCAAAGACAGGAGTTGACACAAGGGATGTGCCATGAGCAGGGAGGACTGAAGCAGCTCCTGTGCCTCAAGCACATCAACACTGAGCTCTGGTACCACCCATCTGTAGGAAACTGCCTACGTGGGCTGCATGCTTTGCTCATGGAGAAACCTCCAGCATTAGTCAGCAAGCCAGCATTCAGTTGTGTGAAGCTTTCCTGGCAGCATGGGGCTGCTCGTGGCACCGTGGCTGGTGTGCTGGATGTCAGCTCTCAAGGACAGGGCAGTCACTCCTGCCCCCACCAGCCTGGCCTTTCTCCAGCATGGGCCAAGTGCCCGCAGTCCTGCCTGCACAGGAGCTCAGAGTAGGTGCTCCCCAGAGAGCTCCATGCCCAGGTGGAGGCTAATTCCCTTTTCCCACCTTTGCTTCCTGCAGAATGGGCTGAACGCCTTGCACCTGGCCTCCAAGGAGGGCCATGTGAAAATGGTGGTGGAGCTGCTGCACAAGGAGATCGTTTTGGAGACAACGACCAAGGTAAGGACGAGGAAGCCTGGCCACGCTGGGCACAGCTCTGCACACTGCCTTTGCTGCCAGACACAGCAGCAGCAGCTGAGCAGGGATCATGCTGTTTGCTGTGCCAATGGCAGTGCTGCTGGGCTGGGCTCTAGGACCAGGCTCTGGTTTTAGCACAGGCTTGGCATCTCTTAATAAATAAAAGGTGCCCTTCCCCTGTGGGGGCTGTTGTGGACTTCAGAGAGGAGTAACACAAACCACAGCATGGGCTAGTCGTGTATTACCAGCATCTCCTCCTGGCACAGGCTGCTGCCCCAGGGCAGCCCCTGCATGTTCCAGCAATGAGATGGCCTCAATGTCACAAGCCTGGAGAGCTCTGGTGCTCTGTAAATAACACGTTGTTCTCTCCTGCACCACCACAGCAGGTGTGGTTTTCTCTTGATGACAAGCAAGACAACGGCACAAGCAAGCAGGGCTGACAAATGAGCAGCCTCCAGCGCTGGTGAAGGGCTGTGAGAACAGGAGGTGCCACCTCCCTGGTGCTCTCACAGGGCTCTGGACACAGAGCAGAATCTGGCATTCTGCCACACCACCCAAAGGCACAAGTGGGAAGAGCCTGCGTGTGCATTTTCCAGCCTGCTCATCACCCCTGGTATCTGCTGGGATGCCTTGGCTACCAGGGTGCACACTGCAGTTTTGCCTGAAGGCTGCCAGCTCAGCTCCCCCGTCCTCCCCCCTGTCCTCATCTCTCAGTGCTGAAGATGCACAGCACCTGACAGTGCATACAGCTTCTGCTGCCAGTAACTTCATGGGAGAGATGAAATCACTCTCTTCCCTGGCCAGCAGATGGGAAGGGTGGCTGGTTGGTTTACAGCAGGGATGGAACACGGAGTGAGAGCTGCGTGGCCTTCCAAAGCATTTCCTGGCCAGCTGCTCTGCTTGCATGCCTGTCAGCATGTCAGGCCCGTCTTTCCCTGCCATCCTGGGTTGCTTCAGCCCCTGAGGACTGTCCTGTGGTGTCTTTCAGAAGGGAAACACAGCCCTGCACATCGCTGCCCTGGCTGGACAGCAGGACGTGGTCCGGGAGCTGGTGAACTATGGGGCCAACGTCAATGCGCAGTCCCAGGTAGGGTGAGCTGGTCTGGAACAGGAAGGCACCCACCCTGTGTGGTGGTGGTGGTGTCCTCGTGGTGGGAACCGTGCCCAGCATGGCCTTTGCAATTTCCCTCTAGTCTTGTTCAGGAGCAAGGACTGCTCTGCCAGACTCCTGGAAGCAAACAAGTGTGCAAATGGTGTGGAGGGAGTCTTGAGGCACATGGGGACACCAGTGGGGTCTCTGTGGTGTTGAGGGAGTTGATGTCAACACATGAAAGCGTGCTGAACTTGTCCTGGGAGGACTCATGGCTGATGCCTCCCTGGCAAAGCTTTGAGATCTCCAGCAACACCTCCAGTTAAACACACTGTGCTTCCTTCACTCTCTCTTCCTTGGGCCTGGTAGGGCTGAAAGCTCTTCAGATTTTGCCTGATAGGAGAATTGTCCCTGAAGCTAGGGACAATGCCAGCAGTGTCCCCTGTCAGTTGACTCTTACAAAGCACTTTTTTTTTTCCTGGATATGTGCAGCCTTGGGCTCCATCTCTCTGTGATTGTTCCACAGCTGCCAGGTTTTTTTTTTCTTTTTCACACCCTCAATGGATGCTTCTGCCCCTGTTCACAGACCTGGGAGAGGCGGTATTGATGGGGGTATAGGTCTTCAAAGAACTCAAGAAACACAAGGAAGAGTTGTGTTGATGTTCATGGCCCTGTGTTTGCAGAAAGGCTTCACACCTCTCTACATGGCAGCGCAGGAGAACCACCTGGAAGTTGTGAAGTTCTTGCTGGAAAATGGAGCCAACCAGAATGTAGCCACAGAGGTAAGATCCTTGGGGAGGAACCTACGGCCCTGCTCGTGGGGGCTGCTGAGGGACATGCCAGGTCCTGCCATGGCTCCTTGACTCTCTCCCTCTCCTTGGCAGGATGGCTTCACCCCGCTAGCTGTGGCTCTCCAGCAAGGACATGAGAATGTGGTTGCCCACCTTATCAACTATGGGACAAAGGGTAAGGTCCGCCTGCCTGCCCTGCACATTGCAGCCCGCAATGACGACACGCGCACAGCTGCTGTGCTGCTGCAGAATGACCCCAATGCTGATGTCCTCTCCAAGGTGTGTGGTTTTCCTGTGCTGTCTCTGGGAGCTCCCCCGCATCCCCAGGGAGAGCAGCAGCTCGGTATGCTGTGTTTATCCGTAGTTTCATCAGGGAGCATGTGTCTGGCTGGCTGATCCCTCCTTCTTTCCCTAGACTGGATTCACCCCTTTACACATTGCAGCCCACTATGAGAATCTCAGTGTGGCCCAATTACTGCTGAACCGTGGAGCCAGTGTCAACTTCACACCCCAGGTGAGTGCAGAGTGGGAAGCTGCTGGGGCTTGTGCTGTGCCTCCTGTCCATGTAGGGTGCAGCATCAGCTGCCAGGGCATGCTGGTGAGGTGGGACTATGCAGAAAGCAGCATGCAATTAATAACAAGCATGGGCCTTTTCTGCTATGTCTCCTTCTGTTAGAAGCAGCCATGCATCCCTGAAATCTCTTGGGGACCTTGTCTCCAGGCTGAGGGAAAGCTGGTGCTGTTGCTGCAGGGCAGAGCTCCTAGAACCTCTTCCAGACCCAAAGGCAAAGCCCAACCCATGAGCTGGTGCTTTCCTACAAGCTCTGTGTAGCTTCTCTCTGCAGCCTGTAGCTGCACTGCCCTGTTAAACAAGCTGTTCCCCAGTGCTGTCCCTGGGCAGAGATGTAGCTCTCCCTGCCCTCTCTCCTTTGTGTTGCCTTCTTGAAAGAGAAGGGGCTGCTCCTTCTGACAGACTGTCCTTCCTCCTGACAGAATGGGATCACCCCCCTGCACATAGCTTCCCGCCGGGGCAACATCATCATGGTGCGGCTGCTGCTGGACCGGGGGGCCCAGATAGAGACAAGGACCAAGGTGAGAGCACAGCCCACCTTTACACAGCCATCTCCCCCCCTGAGCTCCTTGTGCCCAATGCTTACCCTGCAAACGTCTTGCTGGGAATGTGAGAGGTGCACTAAGGGGATGGACCAGGTTTTTTGCTGGCACATACAGAGGTGAGGGAAGGCTGCATGGCTACAAAGGTGTGCCCTGGGAGCTGAGCCCAGGCTCAGTTTTGCCTTATTTTTCAGACAAGTCCAAAGACCCTGTTAGTCCTCTACCTGAGGGAACCCTGCCCTTCCATGCCACACTGAGCCCTTGAGCCCTCCTCTCTCCCCAGGACGAGCTGACCCCTCTGCACTGTGCAGCACGCAATGGACATGTGAGAATTGCAGAGATCCTCCTGGACCACGGGGCTCCCATTCAAGCCAAAACCAAGGTACCCAGTGACTTGGGGCTGCGATTAGTGCCAGGTCCCAGGGCAGCACAGTGGCTGTGCACAGTTGCTGGATGGCACCCGTGACTGGCTTGGGGCTTTTTTTTGGCCTGATGAGGGATAAGAAGCTTCCTGCCCTACTTAGCCCTAGCTGGAGTCCTTTGCCTGAGGGCTTCATCCTTCAAAGGGACCAGTCCTGAGAAGGAGATGGCCTGGGTACAGTCTGCCCCATGGCAGCAGCTCTTCAGGCCCTTCCCTCCACTTGACACTGCTCCTCTGTAGGTCCCAGTGAGGGATTTTGAGGCTTCTCTCTGGTAGCACAAGCTGTCCCATCTGCCCTAGAGTAGTGTCTGGGGGTGCAAGGCAGGGGCTGGGTGGGATGCCTGGACCCCTCCTGGCCCAGCCCTGAGGCTCTGCTGTAGGAATGTGCCTCCTGTTGATGGAGGGGCAAAACTACCCTTTGTCCCCCTTAAAAGGAAAGAAGCCCAGAAGTTTCTCTCCTCAGTTGGTGAAAAGCCACGTCATAGGACCTTGGGGACTTCACCTCAGACTTAAGGATGGCAAATTGGATAGAAGCCAAAAAGTCCCACCTGGGCAATTTACTAGAAAAGCAGTGACCAAAGAAACTAATTGCTTCTGTGAGGTGTTTTACCAGGAGCAAAGACCTCTTGCCCCTGGACAGTTTTTCTGTTGGTTATTTTGCCTTTCATTAAACCCTTTCATTTCCAACACTGCAACAGAAGCCATCCTGCTGATTTTCACCCCTCCAAAAGCAGCTGAGCTATCTTGGGCGTGTCACACGCCTCTGAGGGCTAACGAGACCTGGCTGGAGGAGGCTAATTAACACTCTCCACGCTCACAGAACGGCCTGTCGCCCATCCACATGGCAGCCCAGGGTGACCACCTGGACTGCGTGCGCCTGCTGCTGCAGTACAGCGCGGACATCGACGACATCACCCTGGACCACCTGACGCCGCTGCACGTGGCCGCCCACTGCGGCCACCACCGCGTGGCCAAGCTGCTGGTGGAGAAGGGGGCCAAGCCCAACTCCCGAGCCCTGGTGAGGGAAAGGTGGGTGGTCTGGGCCAGGCCAGGGGGAGAGGGAGAGTTCCTGCAACTGACTGTCTGTCTGTCTGCAGAACGGCTTCACGCCCCTCCACATCGCCTGCAAGAAAAACCACATCCGCGTGATGGAGCTGCTGCTGAAGACAGGAGCCTCCATTGATGCTGTCACAGAGGTAGGAGCCCATCCTCAGCTCTCCTGATTCTACAGTGTGGGCATGTCATGTCCCTGTTGCTTCTGCCATACCCCCGGGGCCTTTCTTGGTGCTCTTTGCAGCTCAGAACTGATTTAGTCTGGCAGCGTCTTCCTGAAGGGCAAGGAGATGCAGGGGAGACAGCAGCTCCGTGTGTTTCCTCTGCACTCACCTGCCAGGCTCCTGGAGCAGAGTGGGGACTCTCCCTGTGCTGAGACCTGCCCTGGGGAGAAGGAGGAGGGGACAGTGAGAGATATTGCCAAGGCCATAAGTGCTATAAGAAATCTTGGTTTCTGGCCCCTTTCTCTTCACAGTCCGGCCTGACCCCCCTGCATGTGGCTGCCTTCATGGGACACCTGCCCATCGTCAAGACTCTGCTGCAGCGTGGAGCCTCTCCTAATGTGTCCAACGTGGTGAGTCCCGCCCTGGCTGGGGCTTTGGGAGCTCAGCTTATTGGGGTTCAACAGGATATCCAGGTTCTGCTCCTTTTGTTCACCTGAGCAGTCCCTGGTGCCCTCTGCTTTGTGCTGGCACAAGGAACCAGCAGAGTAGGAACCATTGCTCTCCTCTGTTCATAGCAGAGGAATGACTACAGGAAGTCATTTTCCCTCCTTTGGCCTTACCACTTTATCCTGTCTTTGGTGCAGAAAGTAGAGACTCCTCTACACATGGCAGCCAGAGCTGGGCACACAGATGTGGCAAAGTACCTGCTGCAGAACAAAGCCAAAGCCAATGCCAAGGCCAAGGTAGGTACAGAGGACCTGTGTGATATTCAGCTCTGGGAACAGCTGGTGCTGGGTTTCTTTGCTGTCATGTGCCCAGAGCGCTGCCTACCAGGGGCTGTGCAACAGTGGGAGCAGGGCTGGGATCCCTTTGGCATTGCAAGAAGGGTCTGGTCCAGGTCTGCCCAGACAGCTTCTCTGCCACCCTCACAGGATGACCAGACTCCTCTGCACTGTGCTGCCCGCATCGGCCACACCGGCATGGTCAAACTCCTTTTGGAGAACAACGCCAACCCCAACCTGGCCACCACAGCAGGGCACACGCCCCTGCACATCACTGCCAGAGAGGGGCACATGGACACAGCCCTGGCCCTGCTGGAGAAGGGAGCCTCACAGACCTGCATGACCAAGGTAGGCTGCTGAGCCCACTGCTGCAGAAGGCACGGCCCAGCTGGGGCAGGGCTGGGCAGGCTGGTGGCACAGTGTCCCTGTCACAGGAGGGGCAGCCTCCTCCTGTGTTGCAGCAGGTGCCAGCACCCTCTTCATCTCTGCCACCCTGTGATGGGCTGCCTTTCTCCTCAGAAAGGATTTACCCCTCTCCACGTTGCAGCCAAGTATGGAAAGGTGGATGTGGCAGAGTTGCTGTTGGCACATGACGCTCACCCCAATGCAGCGGGGAAGGTGAGAGTTGCTTCTGTGGGAGGAGTGGTCTCGTAGGAGGAGAGGCTCTGTCTCACCTGTCTGTTCTCTCTCCCCCTCTGCAGAATGGCCTGACTCCACTGCATGTGGCTGTGCACCACAACAACCTGGAGATTGTCAGGCTGCTGCTTCCCAAGGGGAGCTCCCCACACAACTCGGCCTGGGTAAGTCTGGGGATTCCCTGGGGATGTGGTGTGTGTCCAGCCCTGCCAGCCTGGGGCCAGCACTGCCCCTCAACCCTGGCACTCAGGGAATGTATAAGGCACTGATCACCACCAGCCTCTCTCCATGCCTGCTGTCCTCTCAGCACGTGGAGCAGGCAGGGTGCCAGGCAGCGGTCCTGTTCCAGCAGACAGGCTGTGTCAGGGATGGTCCTGCTAGCAGCATGGTGGTTTGCTGCGTGGGGAAACGTGTTTCCATGGCAAGTCCTGCAGAGCAGCGCTGCGGTCTGGCAGTTTGGGAAAGCACAGGCAAATGTTTGCATGCAGCTATGAAGCAGTGAGTCAGAAAACCCACCAGCTTGTGAGACTCACCCGGCTCTGCCTGAGCATGGGGGAGCATCATCTCCCCACAGAGCACACCAGCGGGCGCCTTGCTTCCCGTGCTGTTTGCAAAAGCTGCATCCTCCAAACAGCCAAGTGGCTGGTGGTGCCAGCCCTCCCCATCTGGCACTTCCCTCTCCCCTGTGCAGACATGCTGGGCAGGCACCGGGAGCAGCCGGTACCAGTGCCAGCCCGCCGTGGGTCTGCGTCACCGACAGCCTGCATGTCAGCCCGGCCGGCGGGTGTCTGCCAGCTGCTCTGCTCCTTCCTGCAGCGTGGCAGCAGAGGCAGGGCTCAAGGCCCTGCAGTCTCTGCCTGAATGCTAATGCTGTGTGTTGGGAGTTTAGCTCAGCACCTCAGCCAGGCACGTTCCAGCTCCTTTTTGCAGCTCCCAGAGGCTGCATACTGCTGCAGAAATTCATGTGCAGAAAGATCCAGGACAGCCCATAGCGGTTGAAACTGAAGCAGGTGGTCTTTGAAACCCCCCTGCTGACTTGGCTTGAAGAGTGAGTGGGATTTGGCATCAGTGTCAGGCTGGTTGCTGTCAGAGAGATGGTGGCGGGGGGACACCCTGAGCTCTGGAGGCAGCTAGGAAGGGCAGGCCTGGCCTGCAGGGGTAGGGTGGCACCTCCTGTCCTTTCTGGTGTGCTTGGCAGGGCTGGGCACTGCAATGAGCCTCTCTCCCTGCAGAATGGGTACACCCCCCTGCACATCGCTGCCAAGCAGAACCAGATGGAAGTGGCCAGCAGCCTGCTGCAGTACGGGGCCTCTGCGAACGCTGAGTCCGTGCAGGGAGTCACTCCCCTGCACCTGGCTTCCCAGGAGGGGCATGCAGACATGGTGGCACTGCTTTTCTCCAAACAAGCCAATGGCAACCTAGGCAACAAGGTAAGTTGTCCCAGTGCATCCTGCCAGGCTGGAGGCAAAGAAGCCAGCAGAGGATAGCAGTCTGGATGGTGGTCCAGGCCCCTGTGCCTCCCTGCCTTTGGGCAGCACACGCTGTCAGTTTGCCAGGCTGGAGACCCCAGAGAGTCTCTGCTGCTGGAGCTGCAGTGATGGCAGTGCCACCGTGCTGAGACCTCCTCTCTTTGCAGAGTGGCCTGACTCCTCTCCACCTTGTGGCCCAAGAGGGGCATGTGCTGGTTGCTGATGTTCTGGTGAAACATGGAGTCACAGTGGATGCAATGACCAGGGTAAAGTAGTGCATTGACCATGGCTTTGGTGAAACACATGGGGGGAACTACCTCTGGACTGCTCAGGGAAGAGCATTTCTTTTCCTTCGTGCAAGAGACTCCCTTCTAGCAGCCATCCTTACCATTTTGCCTGTGCCCTGGGGACTTTTCCTCCTCTTCCTCCCACCTCTCTGGAGGGGTGATTCCTGCCTGCTCATGTAGCTCACATCTGTACCCACAAGTACAACATGGTTTGAAGCCCTGTGCTTTGGTCTTGAACTTTTGGGAAACCCCCACATGCATGCCTGATCCTTCTTGCATGGGGGCTTGCCTGTGGGATGAGCATATCCGAGCCAGCAGGGCAGTAAGCAGTGGTGAGGGCAGACTGAGCCCTGATCTTGTCTTTCAGATGGGCTATACCCCTCTGCACGTGGCCAGCCATTATGGGAACATCAAGCTGGTGAAGTTTTTGCTGCAGCACCAAGCGGATGTCAACGCCAAGACCAAGGTACAGAGGGGTCCTGTGCTCCAAGGACCCTCCTGCCGTGGGCACAGCATGCAGGTTGATGGGGAGGGGGAGCTGTCCTCCTGCTCCAGGCATGGAGCACCCTGTGTGAGGCCTGGGGGCATTTCTGGGGCAGGAGCCTTCCAGAACTGATGGCAGCACCCTCTGTCCTCCCCTGCAGCTGGGCTACACCCCCCTGCACCAAGCAGCACAGCAGGGCCACACGGACGTGGTGACGCTGCTGCTGAAGCACGGCGCATCCCCCAACGAGATCAGCACGGTGAGCACAAGGCTTCCCCGCACCTCTCCACGCTGTGGCAAGCTCAGGCAGCTGCCTGAGCTGCCCTGTGGCTGCTGCTGACCCTCTTTCCTCCGTGCACAGAACGGCACCACTCCCCTGGCCATCGCAAAGAGGCTTGGCTACATTTCCGTCACAGACGTGCTCAAGATTGTCACAGAGGAAATCGACATCCCGGTGAGCCCCTGGGTACTGGGAGCAGGATGCTTGAGGAGGGCTGGGAATGGGAGCAGCCTGGGAAAGGTCTGCAGCTGGGTGCCTAGCTGTGCAGAAAAATGCTGGCTTCCTCTGACTCTGCTCTGCTCTTCTCCCACAGTCCGTTGGTGATAAGCACCGCATGAGCTTCCCAGAGACTGTAGATGAGATTCTGGACGTATCAGAGGATGAAGGTGAGGGGTGGGAGTTGGGTCACAGCATCCCAGAGATCTGCTGGCTGGGTCAGTATGGCAGGCAGCAGTCAAGGGGATGGCACTGGTGTTCCTGCTGGAACAGGGACACCTCCAGGCCAGGGAGCTGTGTGGGCCCTGCTGTGGTCTTGCAGAGAGGACAAGGGAAGCCCACCAGATTCCTGAGGTGGCACCTCCAGCCTTGGGTGCTTCCCTGCACTATGCAGGAGGGATATGTCTGGACATCTCCATGATCCCATGGCCCAGGGACTGTGCAGAGAGCCCTTGGGCATGCACAGTCCTCACTGTGCCTTGCTCAGGCAAGGAGGGTACCAGCTCCCAGCCCAGCTGTAGCTGGTGTGCTCCTGCCCCCTCCCACCAATACCTCACTTTTGCCTCTTCTTACTTTGCAGGCACTGCTCATGTCACAGTAATGGGTATGAAATGTGTCCCCCTGCCCCAGCTCAATGACCCATTTCACCCCATGGCCACTAACCATCCGCACGCCGTGTCCATCTGCTGAGCCTTGCTGCTGGTCTGGTGCTCTGCAGCGCCAGCCCTGCCATCCTACCCTGCCAATCCATGTCCGTGCTGCTTGCTGTGGTGTGACTGCATGAACGGGCATCCTCCCACTCAGGAGGACCCTGACCCCCTTGTCAGACCCAGGCCCTGTCCATGGCAGGAACCTGTGACAATCCCTGGTGTCCCTCCACAGCTGCCCCATGCCATCCTGGCCAGAGCAGGGATTCCCCTGAGAGCTCAAGGGTCTCTGTGCTGCTGAGGTCCCCTCCCCATCTCTGGGGCACTCTGTGTGCTGCAGGAAGTGCTGGAGACCCTCCACAGGGCACTGGCCAGAGCCAAACTCTGATGAGCTAGCTAGCAGGTATTAATGGGGCCAGTGGTCACATTAGCAGAGCTCTGTGCCTCCAGTGGGGTGCAGTGTTAGGGCAGCCTCCTGCACCCCCAGTTGTGCCCCATGTCCCTGTCCCAGGCATCAAAGTGTAAGGTGTCCCCCGCAGTCTCTGCACTCTGTTTGGTGCTCTGAGAAAGAGGTTAGTGAGCAGCCAAATTTCCTGGTGGCTCCCACAGCTCCTGTCCCGCTGGCCTGCCTTGCCAGCTGACCCATTGTGGCAGACAGCAAAGCCCTCCCTGTGTCTGGCTGAGACCCAGGGGGCAAATGAGTGTGTGTGTGTCCAGCAGTGGGAGCAGGGATGGGCCCTGGCTCCAGCCCTGAGGAGGGGTGGGGGCAAGGGCTGGATATCTGTGTTCCCTTGTCCATCTGCCTCTGCTTGCTGAGCCAGCTCTTGGTTTCAGAGGAAGAGCTGATTGCACCAAAGCCCAAGACACCTGATCTCAGAGAGCAGGAAGGCAAAAGAGAGATACTGGAGTTCATGACCACAACGACACTGGAGCAAACGTAAGAGACACTGTATGGTGGGGAGGGAGCAGGTACAGGGCACAGGACCAGCCCTGTGCTGGGCAAGGGGCACAAAAGGCTCTGGGCAAGGACCAGATCACTGAGCCCTCGCTGGCTGGCACAGCAGGCAGAGCTGGTCAGTGCTGCTCCTGCACCAGGACGTGGGACTGCTGCTTAGTTTGCCTTTGTCCAGAGGCCCCAGGACTCTGTGGGAATGGGAAGGGCCTGAGGGACCCTACCACTTCTGTGCCTGTCACTGCCCTCTCCTGCCAGGGTGGAGTCTCCAGCTGTCCTGCAGGTCCCCTGCATCCCACCTGAAACTGTGGTGACCAGAGCTGAGGAGACTGAGCAGGTAGGACCTGTGGAGACAGAAGCTGAGCAAGTCAGCCTGCTGCATGCACCCTCGGTGTCCCCACAGGAGGTGAGCATGAGATACAGCCTGCCATGGCCTCCCCCAGGCATTCCCTGCTGGGGCAGCTCCCCCATCACCACAGAGCTCAAGTGTGTGGTGGGTAATGGGCACTGACCCGGTGGTACAGGACTGTCCAGTGAGGATTGGGTAAGGGTGGGCAGGCTCAGCACCCCCAGACAGGACCCTTTGCCCACAAGGTCTCTTCCCTGCCTTACACAGCCCTCCAAAGAGTTCGACGAGGACTCTCTGATCCCCAGCAGCCCTGCCACTGAGACCTCAGACAACATCAGCCCCGTGGCCAGCCCCGTGCACACAGGGTGAGTGCCCACCTGTGCAGCACATGTATGCTGTGTTCACCAGCTGGCTGCAAGGTGCCTTATCACAGCTACACAGGGCCCACCTTGCTGCCTTGTGGCAGCTTGTGTGTGCCAGCAACCTTCCTGTGCTACCTGCAGCCCTGTCATTGTGGAGATTCCCCACTTTGCCTCGTATGGGCGCGGGGACCGCGAGCTGGTGGTGCTGCGCAGCGAGAACGGCTCCGTGTGGAAGGAGCACCGCAACCGCTACGAGGAGAGCTACATGGACCAGCTGCTCAACGGCATGGACGAGGGTGAGCGTGCCAGGAGGGCAGGGGCTCCACGCCTGACAGCTCCCTGCAGGCAGGGCTGTGGTGCCCTGGGGTATTGGAGTGTACCAGAATTACTGACGGGACTGCCTTGGTCTGTCTGGCTTCGGCTGCTGACCCAATAGCAGCACCTGTGGGGTTTTCTCCCCAGACATGCTGTTCAGTACCTGTGGTCACAGCTGGGCACATGGGGACGAGTCCGGGCATGCCCCGAGCTCCAGTGCTTGCAGCTGGAGCTTGCTGTTGAGGGGGTCACTCCTCAGGCCTTCCTGAGCTGGAGGAACCTCTAAGGCGAGGTGAAGAGAGGAGTGGGTCCTGATGGAGAGTTTTTAATCCAGAGTTTTTATTTTGGTGGCACGGCCTCTGAATCTTGCAACAACTCCAATGAACTCTCCAACAGAACCCTCCAACAGAACCCTGACCTCGTGGTCTGCTTGCCCTTTTACCTGGGGACTGGGGCAGGGGAGGGAACACAGGGACCACCAACCAGGTACAGCGGGAGGGGGTCTCAGGTGAGAAGGACACCTGGGTGGGCCAATGGCCCCCCAGGGAGTGGAGAGCATCCTTTGAACTTGCCAATCACTCCATGCTCTCCTTAGAATTTCTGGGTTGATAGTGCCCAGCAGGGGTCAAGGGTGGGGAAAAGGAGAGGTGATGGACACCCCCCCGGGGAAGAAAATTTCAGGGAGAAACCAGGGGAAACTGAGGCAAGTCATGACATCACACCGCAACAGTGGGGCTGAGTGGTGTGGTCAGTGACAGGCACAGGCTTGGCGTGTGAGCACTGATGGCTGTGCTGCCCCTGCAGAGCTGGAGAGCCAGGAGGAGCTGGACAAGAAGAGGGTCTGCCGCATCATCACCACCGACTTCCCTCTCTACTTCGTGGTCATGTCCCGGATTTGCCAGGACTGCGATATGATTGGCCCTGAGGGAGGGTGTTTGAAAAGCACACTGGTGCCCATGGTGCAGGCCACCTTCCCAGACACTGCTGTCACCAAAAGAGTGAGGCTGGCCCTGCAGGTGAGCCTCAGAGAGCCTGGCCTGGGGCTCAGACACGCTTCTGCAATCAGGGGTGGGCAGCAAGCCCAGGCTGTGCCCCAGCCTGGGGAAAAGCCATCCCTGATGCCCATCCTTGTGCTATCCACAGGCACAGCCTGTGCCTGATGAGCTGGTGACCAAGCTGCTGGGGAACCAAGCGACCTTCAGCCCCATTGTCACCGTGGAGCCACGACGGAGGAAGTTCCACCGCCCCATCGGCCTCCGGATCCCGCTGCCACCCTCCTGGAAGGACAATCCCCGGGACAGTGGTGAGGGTGACACCACCAGCCTGCGTCTGCTCTGCAGTGTCATCGGTGAGGCTGCAGGCCTGCTCTCCGTGGGGATGGGCTGGGCTGCCTCAGGGCGATGCAGCTCCAGGGAGCACAGCTGTGGAGAAAGAAAATGCCATGGGGATGCAGACCCCGGGCTTATGGAAAGACAGTATGCTCACCCTTGCTTTCTGCTGCAGGAGGGACAGCCCAAGCCCAGTGGGAAGACATAACAGGCACCACAAAGCTAGTCTATGAAAATGAGTGTGCTAACTTTACCACCAATGTGTCTGCCAGGTGAGTCCTGGGCAAAAGTGTGCTCATCTGAGGATATCTGGTGCTCCTTGGGCCTTGCTACAGCCTTTGCCAGGAGAAACCCCTTACCCCTGGTGCTGTGCTGCCCTATTCCTACGTGCAGAGTGGTTTCCTCTAGCTTTGAGACCCCCATGCTGCCTGAGCAAACTTCAGGAAACAGTCATGACAGCTGGGTGTGCAGAAGGGGACCATTATTTGTACTTGCCTGGTTCCCCATCCAAGATGGGGTTACATCTGTGTCCAGAACTCTTGGGGCTTCCCTTGCAGTCCAGCTGGCTGTTGAGGGGAGTGGGGGCAGCTGCCTGGTGCCACCACCCAGCAGCAGCACCCCGACCCAGATCTCCTGCAGGTTCTGGCTGGCAGACTGCCCACGCACAGCTGAGGCCGTGCACTTTGCCACCATGCTGTACAAGGAGCTGACAGCCGTGCCCTACATGGCCAAATTCGTGGTGTTTGCCAAGATGAACGATGCGCGGGAAGGCCGGCTGCGCTGCTACTGCATGACTGATGACAAGGTTGACAAGACTTTAGAGCAGCATGAGAACTTCACCGAGGTGGCCCGCAGCAGGGACATTGAGGTTTGTCACCAGCAGCATGTGTGGAGGGCAGGGAGAGGGATAACAAAGTGAGGGGAGGCTGATAGCAGTGGGAGAGCCTGGCTCTGGGACAGTCAGGGCTACCTGCCCTGTCCAGCAGCAGGAGGAGCAGCTCTGCACAGGGTCTGAGCACGTTTTCTGCTCCTGGCCAGGTGGTGGAGGGAATGCCTTTGCACGTGGAACTCTCAGGGAACCTGGTGCCTGTCAAGAAGGCCGCTCAGCCCCGCACCTTCCTCTTCCAGTCCTTCCGCGAGAATCGTCTCGTCATTCCCATCAAGGTAACACCAGGGTACGGGACTGAGCAAGCAGTTAGGGCCCTTGGCTGGTGCCAAACCACCTAACCGGGCTCTGGCACTCAGGTGCGGGACAGCAGCCGGGAAGCCAGTGGCTCCCTGTCTTTCTTGCGCAAGGCCATGAAATACGAGGACCTCCAGCACGTGCTCTGCCACCTGAACATCAGCATACCGCCCTGCACCAAGGTCAGTGGAGGGTCCTTGGCACTCTGGAAGGGGGCAGTGAGGGCCCATCCCTTCCCCAAGTGCAGGGGACAGCTCTTGCTGTCAGCTTTCTTCACCTGCTCCATGCGGCCATGTCGTGCCGCTCAGGAGGTGAAGGAGAAGCAGCCAGGGCAGAGGTGCTGCCCTCTTTTCAAGCTGTTGACCCCTTGGTTTGTCACCATTTCACAGGGAAGTGGCAGTGATGAGCGAAGGAGGACGCTGACACCACTGTCCCTGCGGGAACGATACAGCATCCTCAGTGAGACCAGTTTTGGTATGCAGCCTGCTGGGAGCATTCCAGCCCACTCACTACCTGCACTTGGCGTGCCCAAGCCAGTGGAAAGCTGGGATGATCCTGTCCTAGCTGCACTCACTGCAGCTTCCCTTTCCCTGAAGCCCTTGGTCCTGCCTGCAGGGCAATGCTGTGCCTAGGGGTCTGTGTGACCCCCATGGCCAGCCCCCATTCCCCTCGCTGCTCTGGTGCAGCTGAGCTGTGACTCCCTCTTCTCCTCCAGGCTCTCTGAGCAGCACAGACAAGGCAGACCAGAAGATGGTCGACATAGCAGAGCAGCTGGGCCTCAGCTGGGCTGGTGAGTCCACACCTGGTGGTTCTGAGGATGCACAACACCCCTGGGAAAGCTGACACTTAGGGAGGCTGCCAGGTGTAGTGACTGCTTTGCAGGGCACGCCTGCTGTGAGCATTCCAGGGCACTGAAGTGAACCTTCCCATGGCTGTGCACCTATTCACGTGCATGGGCACCAGGCTAGGCCTTTGTTAGGAGCTGTACATGTTGCTGCTGTTCGTGGCAGCCACACATCCAACAGCAGAGCCCACACTTCTTGTCATGAGACCCCACTGTGCTGGTCACAGCCAGACTGGGCAGGGGGGCTTCAACCCCTGCCCCATCCCACCTCCTGCATGTTCTGCTGTGTTCAGCTGTGTGTAACAGAGGGTCTCTGCTGAGCCCTTCACAGCACCCCTAGCCTTGTGGTGGGCACCAGAAGGTGTGAGACTGACATGGTGTTTTCCCCAGAGCTGGCACGTGAGCTGCAGTTTGGGGTGGATGACATCAACAGGATACGTGTGGAGAACCCCAACTCCCTTCTGGAGCAGAGCATAGCCTTACTCAACCTCTGGGCCAGCCGTGAGGGCAAGGATGTCAAGAGTGAGTAGTTGTGGTGCCCTTTTACAGGCACAGAGGTGGCAGGGCTAGCTGTGCAGAGCAGCGTGTGCCTCTTCAAGGACCACTGGCTGGCTTTCCTGTGGTGGTTCATGCATTTCTGCCTTCCCTGCCCAGCTGGAGGGTGTCTGGGGCATGGCTGCGTCTCCCCAAGGGATCAGTTTGCTGACACCATCTTCCCCCTGCAGTTGAGAACCTGTACACGGCGCTGAGGAACATCGACCGCAGCGAGATTGTCAACATGCTGGAGGGCTCCGGCCGGCAGAGCCGCAGCCTGAAGGGAAGCTGGCGCTACACAGACAGAGACTACTCCCTCTCACCATCCCAGATGAATGGTGAGCCCCAGCTTCTGGCAGGGAATGCAGGAGGGCCCTGGGAGCACAGTCTGTGCAGAGATTGGGGCTGGTGTCTTGCCTGACCAGGTTGCACCCACTGAGAACTGAGTGGGCACGAGGCATTGCTGACAGATGTGGCCTCTTCAGTGAGGCTTATGCTGCAGAAAGCTTGGCTCTGCCATGCTGCTTTCTCAGAAACTCTCCAGGTGGGATTGACAGGTGTTCCTTGTCCCAGTGTGAGAGGTGAGAGGTGTCTCTGGCTGTGCAAGCTGATCAGAGGCCAGGGAGCTCACTGAGTCCTGGCTGTACAGCTGTGGTGGTGTGCCTGGGCTGAGTCCCAGGCAGAGTGGGCCTGGATGTGGGGACACAGCCAGAGTCAGCTGTGGCATATGCTGCTGGGGAGCCGGCACACCAGACAGGGGCAGGGCTTTGTGCTGCTACAGCCCTGCACTGTGCCTCTGGCCCTGCAGCGCTGGCTCATCGCTCTCTCCCTCTCTGTCTCTCCCCTTGTTCTGTTTTCTCAAACATGCCACCTAGTGCTGCCAGGTGCGGGCACTCCTGTGGGTCACTTCTTTTCATCTTTCTCCTCTGAGCTCATCCTGGCCTCTCCTTCTCTCATCTTCCACTGCCTGTCTCCACTGTCTCCACCTCAGCTAAGCCCTCTGGGAGCCGCATCCTGCTCCAGCGACTGCATGTCATCAGGGACTACCCCTCTTACAGCTGTCATGCTTGCAGGCAGCCATCCCAGGCCTTCTTCTCCTGCACAGTCCCACGCTCCTTCCCTCGCTGGCACTGCACTGCATGCCCCTGGCCAGGCACCTGGGTGCCCATGGGTGAGGTGCCCTTCCTGTGCCAAGGGTCCCAGCTGTACGCTGTGCCTTGGCTGTGGCTGGCATTCCCTGGCTGCCAGGGCAGCAGAACAGGTTCGCTGCTGATCTCCAGGGGTGAAAAAATGGCTCAAAGCTGAAAAAGGCTGAGCAAAGCCACCTGCATGGGTGGGAGTGCCTGGCTTGGTTGTAGTTCGTGTGGATGTGCCTGAGCTGTGCACGTGGCCCTGGGCAATGAGACGTGACAATGGCTTGTAGCCCTGGGGACACCAGCGGGGTTGTAAGGCCCTGGCTGCCTTCTGCAGGGCCTTGGGGTTGCATGGCATGTTCTGGGCCATTCTTCTCTGCTCATGGATCTTCCAACCTGCTCCTCTGTGCTGTGGAGAGTGTTTGGCTTTGAGAGTCGGTGCCTGCCAGACTTGGCTACTTGAACTCCAGGCTAACAGCCAGCTGGTGCTGGATGGGGGCTGTGGGCAGGGACCAGGGGGTCTGATGGAGCAGGGTAGCAAAGAGGGCACTGTGTCCTGCAGTGTGGATGGAGAATCGTGTGAACACCAGGCCAGTCCTCCTCACAGGGAGGAGGCAGCCCCAGGACCTGCCCAAACCAGCCCCAGGATTTAAAGGGGAGGCATGGCAGCATTTGCAGGGACCAGGTGAAAGCAGCTGCCGCTGTGAGCACAGCCCTGCTCAGCCTGGCCACAGGGGGCTGTGGCATGACCATTGCTGTCATTGGGGCTGCCATCCTCCCAGAAGCTGCCTCCCTTTTGCCCTACTGTGCTTGTGCGTGCGTGAGGTGGCTGCTGGACATGATGCCTCTGTCTGCCCATATAGGTTACGCTTCACTGCAGGACGAGCTGCTGTCCCCTGCCTCCCTGCATTACACACTGCCATCCCCGCTGCGTGCCGACCAGTACTGGAATGAGGTGGCCATCATGGATGCTATCCCCATGGCTGCCACTGAGCAGGATGCCCTGATGGAGATGTCCGACATGCAGGTGTGGTCCTCGGGGCTCACCCCCTCGCTGGTGACTGCTGAGGACTCCTCTCTGGAGTGCAGCAAGGCTGAGGACTCGGATGCCACGAGCGAAGGCCGGTTCCCAGGGCAACTTCTAGCAGATGCTCATGGCCCGGACCACATGGGCTCTATGGACCTGGTTGAGGATGACACAGTGGACTCAGATGCCATGAATGGCCTGATTGACCTTCTAGAGCAGGAGGAGGGGCAGAGGCCAGAGGGGAAGATGCCATCTGGTGATCATCAACCAGGGACTGGGGAGCAGGACCCGGAGAGTGAAGTCTCTTTTGTTTCAGTTCAGGAGAAGGTGCAAACCAGGATCATGACATCACCTACCTTTAGCCATGATGTGGAGAAGAGTGCAGACAGGTACTGCAGCCTGGGGCACCAGGGTGACCGTGGTAGGGGAGCACAACTGCTTTGCCAGCTACAGCCCTGTGCTGGGCCAGCTGCAATAATCTCCCTGCTTTGCTTGCTTCCCTGCTGGTCTCCAGCTCTGGAGCCCAGGCATCTGCAGTACATGGAAGGATGGTTGGGCCTTTCTGGCAATGCTCTGGAGGGCTCCTTGCAGAGCACCTGGAAGAGACCCCAGTCAGCCAGGCCCTGCATGTAGGTTGTACTTACAAGTGCTAACCCTAACCTGGGCTGCCTCCTCCCACATTCCCAGTGGCACTGGACCCACAAAGTCCCTGGCAGCACCCAGAAATGCTCCACAGCATTAGACCACATTAGAGTTAGAGCTAGACCACACTAGACCGTGAGAGCACAGCAAGCTCTTGCCTCAGCCCCTGGCCGCCGAGCTGTGAGGCTGTGGGATGGGCAGGGAGCATGGCATAGAGGTGGCCTGTGCCTTTTGTGCATCCGTGTGTCTTGTGCTGCTTCTGCCAGGCGCCCAGCAGTGCTGCGAGCTGGGGAGAGGAGCCAGCGCCTGCGGGGTGCAGGTGTGCCTGCCGGAGCTCGGCTGGTGCTCAGGGTGCAGCACTCCCTGCAAAGCTGACTGCCTCTCTCTCTCTGTCTCTCTCTCCCTATCCCTGTCCCTCTCTGGTGCCCAGGCTGAGGGACTGGAATGCAGAAGGCTCCTTTATCTCCTGCCTACAGGACCTGACAGCGGGCTCCTGGCAGGAGGGAGTCACCCGAAGGCTGCTCCCAACGCACACCACAGCCTCTGGGGCACAGGGCCAGCAGCAAGAGCAGGTCCTGGTGCCAGCCACGGAGCTGATGCGGATCAGCTCTGCAGAGGACAGCGACTGGCAGCCTCAGCACCCCACAGGCGGCTGGCAGGAGGAGGCCGACAGCCGCTTCTTTGGGCAGGTGAGGGTAGGAGCAGGGGAGTCAGCCCTGCAGGAAAGTGGTGACCCTGTGGACAGCCTTTTCTGGAGCCTGCTGCAAGGCCCGTCAGGCAGACCAGGTGCTAGCTCCTCAACTCTCCTAGCATACTTCCTGCCCCTTGGGGTGCCTCTCAGCCCAGAATAGCCCGCTGTGCTTGATACCTGAGCTCTTGCTCTCCATTTATAACCCAGTCACCCTCCAGACTTGTTCCTTATTGAGTATCTGCCCTGGCTGCCAGCCCAGCAGCCTGCTGGAGCCAGAAATAGAGTTGGTCTAGGGGGCCAGGCTGGGTGGTGGGCTTGATGCCACGGTCACACAGAGCCAGCAGGTACAAGGTGAAGGCAAGCACCTTTCCCCAGCCAGGGTACGCACGGCCACGCTTGGAGGTGACTGTTCAGCTCCGCGTTACCTGAGTCACTGTCATTCCAGTGACACCCCACAGCCCTGGCTTTTGCCCAGGGCTTCACTTGTCCTGCGACGGAGGAGCGCACGCCGCCCTCCCACCGCACCAGGGGGGGACAGGCTGTTGGAAAGGTGACAGAGGAGAGGGACAGAGCTGTCCTGCTCCCTGCCTGGCCGGGGCAGTGCCGGCCACATGACTCGGAGCGAAGCTGAGCCCGCAAAGGACGCTCCACCTGCCCGCTCCCTTCTCGCCGCCCACAGCCGGCGGAGCTGCGGCTCCAGCCGGGCGCTGCCGGGCATGGCTGAGCGCTGACAGCGGCAGCCTGCGGCCGGAGGAAGGATGTGGGCTTTCCTGGCCCAGCTGCTGATCGCCCTGGTGCTCCTGGCCTTCTTCCTGGTCAGCTGCCAGAACGTCATGCACATCGTCAGGGGCTCTGTCCGCTTCCTGCTCAAACACGCCCACCGTGAGCTGGACAAGGAGCTCGGGGAGAGCCAGGGGCTGGCGGATGATGAGGAGGCTCTCTCGGCCAGAGTCGTCCGCCGGCGCCTCCTCCTGAAGGTAACGAGCGGGCGAGCCGAGGGACCGGCCCCGGGACGGACACAGGAGAGCAGAGACGGGGCAGGGCAGGGCGGGACACCGGGGCTGCGGGGTGCACGCCAGGTGTATTGTTCGACCAGGTAAACGACTCCCCTGACCGCCCTCGCATGGCCTGATCTCCCTCCTGTTCCTGCAGGGGAACGAAGCCCTTCATCTCCCTGGAGAGCAGGTGACCGAGGAGCAGTTCACAGACGATCAAGGCAATATCGTCACCAAGAAGGTGAGTGATCAGCGGCTGGATGTGGGTAAGGGCATGCCGCAGCCCTTCTCTTCTCCCCTCCACCCCTGTAGCCCGGGGCCCATGTAGGGCATTGGTGTCCTGCTGTCTTCGGTTACAGTCACGGCACTCCTCCAGCTCATGGGGCAGGCTGGGTGGGGACCACGTGCGGTTTGGGAGCAGGCTGGGTGGGGAGGGAGTCGTGGTGCCCTGGGGCCGGCTGTGACGCCCAGCTGTGTGGGTCTCCACAGATTATCCGGAAGGTGGTGCGTCAGCTGGGCCCTGGTGACATGGGTGACAGGCAGGAACAGGAGGAGCTGATTCTGGAGGGCTCCCTACAGGAGCCCCAAGACCTGGAGGCTGAGGAGGATCACTTCATGAAATACTCCATCTTGCACCGGGATGGTCTGGGCGCCAAGGTACAGTGTGGCTCACAGCCCTGCCTTGCCTGGGCCAGCACCCAGGACTCTCAGGACTTCAGCAGGACTCTCAGGCTTTGGGTCAATGTCACCCTCTGTCCTTTCTTCTGCCCTGCACTCCTCTCCTGTTTCCTCTCTAAGACTTCTAAGGCAAATCTTGCCCACTGCGCCAGTCTTCTTGCTTGGTGTTTTCTGCCTGCCAACTGACTCTACCTTTCCCTTTCCTGTCCTTTTCTCTCTGTCTGTCTGTTCACCTGGGTGATGTCCTGCTTCCTGCCCCTTCGGCTTCCTCAGGAGGAGGTGCGAGTGCATGTCCCGAAACCAGAGGTCTCTGGGGGCAGGATGGGGGCTCAGATAGTGAAACGAGCCAGCCTGAAAAGGGGGAAGCAGTGACCCCCTCAAATGGCCTCTTTTGAGGTAACCCTACCTTTGCTCTTCCTTCTGTCCTGGCTCTCCATGCTGCTGCCTGCACTGAGCTGCTGGTCATGCACATTCCCCTGGGGAAGGTGTGGTGGGGCAGTGCCCAGCTCTTGGCCTGCAGAGAGGTTTTGCTGTGCTGCAGCAACGGGCTGGGGGTGGGCAGCAGTGTGCCCTGCTGATAACCTGCTCCTGGGTGCATAGGGAGCCCTGGTCTGCAGCAATGCTGCAGCCAGCTGCGTGCACAGCACCCCAGTGCAGCCCCGGTGCCAAGGGCTGCTGCTGCAGTGGCAGCACGTGGGTGCTCAGGGGGGGTGTCCCCAGTGACAGGGTCACAGAGTTGTTACTCCTGGTTACTCTGGGCTGCAGACAGAGGGATGGTCTTTGTCCAAGTCGCTCCGGGGACTAGATTGCATTTGCATGGGGTCTGAGCAGAGCCACCCCCTTCATGCATGAGCACTAACTGCAGCCTTGTGGCAGTGAGACCAGCCCTTGGAGCTGGTGCCCTTCCCGAGGGGTGCAGCTGAGCTCTGGCAGAGCTGTGGGTCAGGTGAAGGGTGTCCTGGTTCTGTGGGGCCCTGGGTGCTGCCTCTGCTCAGAGCACTGCTGTGGGAGATGCAGCTGCTGCTTATGCCAGCCACGCAGAGCAAAGCATTGAGGTCTGCTGAAGGCAGGATGGGGCAGGCCTTGGCAGGGTGCTGCTGGGGAATGTCTGGGCAGTAGGGATGCAGGAGTGGCAGCTGCAGGAATGTGACACTTGTAGGGGCTGACAACAGGGCACCTGCCTTTGACTTAGGACTTTTCTTCCATTGATCCTCACTGAGCTCAGAATGACCCCTTAAGTCTTGTGCACTCCCTGATCCCCCTGCCTTCCCTGTAGAGTGGGACTAGGCCAGGTTGAAGGCAGGCTGCTTGGCACAGCACATTTGAGCCTAGCTGCATCGTTTTTCTCTGCACACTCACTGCTGGGCTGACAGTGCAGCACTGGGGGAAGGTGTTGCATGTGTGCTCCTCCTGGGAGGAGGCTGCCAAGCAGGGGCAGTTTGTCCTCTGGCCTCTGTTGTACACGCATGCCTCGCTCTGTCCTCCCTCTCCCTTCTCTCTCCACTCTGTTAGTCAGCTCTCTGTGGGTGTGTGAAGGGCTTATGCTTGTGGGCACATGTTCATGCAGACTCTGTCCCCCTCTGCCTGCCCCACTCCCCGGACAGTCCCTGGCTCTGCCTCTCTCTGGGGCACCGCTCCTGTTGCTTTGCTTTTGCAGTTTTCCACTGTGTGAAAGTGGCCCTGGGTGTGCACTGGGGGAGGTTTTCCTCTCTGCTGGGAGAGTGGGGTGCAGTCAGTCATTCTAGCTGAGGTGGGGGGCTCAAGGCTGGCCTCCTCCACCCCAGATCCTGGAGCAGCCCTCCCAGCTCCCTCCCAGTGCCACGTTGCAGCTGGTCCAGCTCAGCTTGCTGCCCGGTGCAGATGGGGCAGCACCATCAGTACCATCGATGTCATCGCTCCTGGTTCCAGGCCTGCCACTCAGTGGTGTTCTGTCACTGTCTGACACCCCCCAAAACTTGTCTTGTGGGTGCATGTGGGACAAGCACAGTGTACAGAAAGGACTTGCCAGCCATGTGCTGGCTGTCCCCACCATTAATCCCGGGTGTGCCACCATGAATGCCTTGGTAACCCCTGCATTTCTGTGTCTCTCTGTGTCTCTCCAGGATCGCACCTCAACACCAAACCACTGAACTTCACACACGTTCTGACACATACCTGAGGAGAGAGGAGAGGAGAGCAGAGAGTGGAGGGGAGCAGGGCTGGCTGTACATGTTTCTATAGGCTAATGGCATGATTTCTGTATGAGATATACTTACCGTCCTATCCGCATGACTGACTGACTGCAAGACGCATGAGCTACAGTACTTAAACCAGACGAGGGGCCTCCATCCTTGCCCCGCTGCTGCCAGGAGCCCAGAGACAGCACCACACACCAGGGGCATGCTCTCAGCTCCTTTGGGAGGCAAGAGCTGGAGCAGAAGGAAACGAGAGGGAAAGGAGATTCCATCTCCGTGCGTGGATGCATCCCCACGTCTGTGCTCCAGCTGCAAGAGGAAAGCTGGGACAGCATGGCACTGCTCACCGTGGAAGGAGAGGTGCTTGGCCCCCCCGCAAATGCCTGTGCTGCCTCTGCTGGACTTGCTTCTCATCCCTCCCTGTGAGTGTTGGGTTTCGGGGGGGGCAGCAGTGGCCAGAGGGTGCAAGGGGAGGCTGCAGGGAGCACAGCTGCCCTGGGCAGAGGGACTGGTGCAGGGCTGCCCTTCCTCTCCCCAGCACGTGCAAAGTCTCCCGTCAGGGCAGAGCTCTGGGCTGAGCACTGAGCTCGTTGCTTATGTTGAAAGTGTAAACTGTACAGCAATCAGCCTTGTGTATATGAACCAATAAATACTATGCAAACCCCTAGGGACACTCTAGCAGTATGTACAAAGCACTGACAGCTCTGCTCTCATATACCTCTTCAGGCTGCAGGATGGGCAAAGCCTTTGGAATATGTGAGCAGCTCTGGTGAAGGGAGCAGGAAGGCAATAGGAGTGAGAGGGCAGCAGCCTGCCCCTGTCCTGTGCCCCTCTGCCTGAGCCTGGCCCCTTGCTGGCCTGAAGAGGGGGGGGCTAGAGGTGCAGTCCCGTGGTCCAGCCCCAGTTTGTGTTGGCTCCAGCTGGCTTGAAGCTGTAGGCCTGCCTTGAGGTGCTTGGGGCCCAGGGAGGATGTGCAGTGAGAGAGAGCAGGAGGTGCTTGTGCCACACGTGGGGTTGTGCCTAGCTCTACTCAGCACAATATCTGCTCAGGAGATGAGCCAGGAGCTAGCAATAGCCAGCAATATGCACCCCAGGCAAGGGCTTTGCAGGGACCCTGGCCTCCCTGCAAGGGGGGCTCATCGCCCTGGATACTGACTCTCCCGGGACCAAACCCAGAGACATGGGAGCTGCATTTTCTCCAGGTGGAACCTGCCTGAGCCCTGGGGGCTGGGGCAGCCTCGGCCCGGCTGCTCCGGCAGGAGCAGAGCTCAGAGTTGGGCAGCACGTTGACCCCGTTGTAATACTTGACCCCAGGAGCGCAGGGAGAAGGTAGTGGCACTTGGTCCCAGGTCCTTGACCCTGTCCTTGACCCAGCTGATGTGGGGACCTGGCCTTTGTAGCACAGTGATGTGGGGACCCCCTGCTCTTTCTCCTGGACGTGGCCACGAACCTGCTTGGCAGAGTCTGAGCTGGTTCTCTGCGGCCAGGTGCAGAACAAGCGCCCCTCCAGCTTCAGGCTATGTGGTGGTGGCCTTGGCAGGGCAGCCCTGCCCTTCAGCGGGTGCACATCTGCTGGGAGAGCCCCTGGCTGCCCTGCAGCCAAGGAGCCTCGCTGCAGCCGAGCGACTGACCCAGCTTAGCCTTGGAGAGCAAAGCAGCCCCCTCCCCACCCCGAAGTTGAGCCATAGAGGCACAGACTCTCCATCCATCACCCTTGCTGCGTACAATAACCTCCCTAGACCCACTGCAACAGCTGACTCCGTAGCATCACCCTAGAGTTGTGTGTGGGTCCAGTGCTTTGGCCTTGTCTATGCCGTAGGGAATGTGCTGTGCTGCAACCGTGCCAGGCACCTGCAGTGACATTGCTTCGCGCTCAGATTGCTTGTAGGGCTGGTAGGGGGAGGCTGCACCCAACATTGAGCCTAGAGAATGCTGCAGTCTGCACACTAGAAGCTTTTTAGAAGTTTTAAAAATTACTTTTATTTTCTTTTTTTAATTGTTATGGAAACAAGCCTTTTGGATCTCCCTGTCTTAGGCCCTGATGTATAGATCATTTCCCTGTACACCAGCTATCAGACTATGAATTAATAAATAAATCAACACAAACGGTGTCTCGTCTCTGCTTTTCCAAAGGCGGGGAAGACGGAGAGCCCGGGGCCGGGTCCCCTCTTGCCGGGAGGGTGGGTCCGGCCGTGTCTCTGCCGTTCCTGGAGCGGCCTCTGGAAGCGTCCGTGCCACCGCTCCCCCCACACTGCTGGGGGTGTCCCGGGGCCCCGGGGCTACTGAGTCCCCACCGAGAGACCCAGCCGAGAGCACGGCCCCGAGCAGCGCTGTCCAGCGTCCGCGCCGCCCCGGCCCTGCATCCCGCCCATCCCGACCCGTCCCGTCCCATCACATCCATCCCGACCCATTCCCGTGTCCCGTCCCGTCCGTGTCGTGTCCCCTCCCATTCCCGTGTCCTGTTCCGTGTCCCGTTCCGTCCCGTGTCCCATCCTGTCCCGTGTCTTGTCCCATTCCCGTGTCCCGTCCTGTCCCGTCCCGTGTCCCGTCACATTCCCGTATCCCGTCCCGTCCCATTCCTGTGTCGCGTCCCGTCCTATCCTGTGTCCCGTCCCGTGTCCGGTGTCCCATGTCTCGTCCCGTGTCCCGTCCCATTCCCGTGTCCCGTGTCCCGTCCTGTCCCGAGTCCCGTGCCCCCTGTCCTGTTCCGTCCCGTGTCCCGTCCCGTCCCACGTCCCGTCTCGTCTCGTCTCCCGTCCCGTCCTGTCCCGTCCCGTCCCGTCCCGTCCCGTCCCGTCCCCGTCCCCGTCCCACGTCTCGTCCCGTCTCGTCTCCCGTCCCGTCCCGTCTCCTCCCGTCCCCTCCCGTCCCGTCCCGTCTCGTCTCGTCTCGTCTCCCGTCCCGTCCTGTCCCGTCCCGTCCCGTCCCGTCCCGTCCTGTCCCGTCCCGTCCTGTCCCGTCCCCGCCGCTCCCGCCGCCACCGCCGGTGCTCAAAGCGCAATTTGTCTGATCCGGACCAATCACGCGCTGCCGCTGAGTCGCAGCCAATAGCAGCCGCGGCCGCCGAGGCCTGGCCAATGGGCGCGCCGCCCGCAGCCGCGCGGCCAATGGCTGCGCGTTATTCTAATGGGCCGCGTCTTTATCAGAGAAATGTTGGCGCTGCCCGAGCCCAAGTTGGGGGTCCGGGGCCGGAGGCGCCGCGAGGTCACCGGGGCTGCCCGCGGCCCGGCCCCGCCGGCATCCCCGTGCCAGCCAGGCGCCCACGGGCCAGCGCGGACTCCGGGGCTCTGTAGCCCCCCGGGCCGGCGGTAATGGGCCGGCCATCGCACCTCCGGGGCTCGGCGCTCTGAGGAGCTCTCGGTGCTAGAGCCATGGATGCCAACCTGCCAGGCACCTTTCTGCTCAACGGCCCCTCGCTGGGCCCCTTCCCCGAGGCCAAGGCGCCCGTTTGCCAGTACTCAGTGCAGAGCTCCTTCTACAAGCTGGCACCCCCCGGGCTGGGTGCCCAGCTGGCGGCTGGCACCCCCCACGGCATCTCCGACATCCTCGGCCGGCCCGCGGCGACCCCGAACGGCGCTCTCCTCCCTGGCTACCCCCACGCGGGCGGATTTAACGGACTGAGCTCCCCGGGCGTCTATTACGGGCCCCAGGTGGGCGCCCTCCCCAAGGCTGGTGGCGAGTACCTGCCGCGGGGCCGGAGCTGCTGGGCGGAGGCGGCCCCGGAGTGGCGGGGCGGCCGGCAGTGCGGCGGCCGTAAGTACGGGGGGCTCGCAGCGCTGGGTGGGTGGTGGGTGCCCCAGGGGACGGGCACCTTGCGGAGTCCCTGCCCGTGGGCGCTAGGGAATGGGCCAGGCTGTGTCTCTGCCGTTGTCCTGTTGGTTGGATGGCCAGCAGGCTCGCCCAGGACAGTGGGGAGAGCTCCAGTGCTGGAGGTGCTGGACTTCAAATGGTCGCAGAACTTTTTGGCTCAAGGGCAGGGGCAGCTCTAATGACAAATACTAATTCTTTGCCCCCAGGCAGCGCTCTGACTCACAAGATCTCCCTGTCTCTCGTTGGCTCAAGGGCAGGGGCAGCTCTAATGACAAATACTGATTCTTTGCCCCCTCTGACCCACAAGATCTCCCTGTCTCTCAAGCAGCCTCGCTGGGGGTCAGTGCCTGGTTAGCTCATGGCAGAGACGGGCCAGCCCCAGAGCTCCAGGCTGGCAGCGCTGCCTTCCTGGTGGAGAGCTGTCGGGGGAATTGCAGAACATGTTGCTGCTGTCCCAGAGGGTAGGTGGGATGGGTGCACCTGCCATCCCATGGGAAGCCCCAGGAGGTTGTGTGCAGCTGTTCAGAACCTGCAGCTCTGGTCCCCTTCACCCCTTCGCAGGTGATGATTTTGGAGCAGATGGGTTAGGCAGTTTGGCCGTCTGCTCCTGGCACAGCTACGAGGCAATGACCTGTCTTATGTCATGCATGCTGCAAGGTGTGGGACATGGGGCACGGTGTTCCCAGCACTGCTTGGCTCTGGGGTCAAGCACTGTTGGTAGCGACCCTTACCCTCTCAGCACAACCACTGTCCTTGATCAGGGGGGGCCTATCCCAGCTCTTGCTCTGTGAGACCTCCACAGTGGGCAGCTCAGCCCTCCTGGGATGGGGCTGAAGCCCTGAAGCAGGAATAAAGTTTTAATTTGGAGAGGAACAGGTGCAGAGGGACTCTTTGGTCACTGAGGGCTGGCGAGTGTGGACAAAGGGAGAGCTGTCCAGAGTCGTGGGCTGCCTAGAGCTCAGCCACTTCTCTCTTCCTCTCCTGCAGCCCCTGCTCACTTGGCTGACAGCATCCACAAGAAGAAGCACACGCGCCCAACCTTCACGGGACACCAGATCTTTGCTCTGGAGAAGACGTTTGAGCAGACCAAGTACCTGGCGGGTCCGGAAAGAGCACGGCTGGCCTATTCTCTTGGCATGACTGAGTCTCAGGTGAAGGTGAGTACAGCTTCCTGTGTGGCGTGGGGTGCGCGGCGTGTTGGCTGCTAACCGAGCCGGGCCCACGGGGCAACAGGTCTGGTTCCAGAACCGACGGACCAAATGGAGGAAGAAGAGCGCCCTGGAGCCCTCCTCATCCTCGCAGCGGGCGGGGGGCTCTGGCGGAGAGCGGGCGGCCTCTGAGACCGAGGACGATGAGTACAACAAGCCCCTGGACCCTGACTCGGATGACGAGAAGATCCGGCTGCTGCTGAGGAAGCACCGTGCGGCTTTCTCCATGCTGGGCTTGGGCACGCACAGCGGCTGAGCGCGCCAGCGCAGCCTGCCCCTCTGGCCTGGGGTGACCCCCCTCACCAGCAGGTGCCTGGCTGTGGGGTGGGGTGGCTGACAGCTGGACGGGGAGCACGGCTGGCAGGGCTGGGAGCAGCACACGTGGTAGTGTCAGGTGCAGCGTTGATGAAATAAAGGTCCCAGTGGAGTCCCAGCACTTGTTTCGTGGTCCAGGGTGGCCTTGTGAGGCTGGGCTAGAGAAGGGTTGGGGATAGGATGGATGGGGCAGGGTCTGCATGCCAGGCAGGGGAAAGGGGCCGTGCTGTGGTGCTGCATGTGGGACAGGAAGTGCCCCACAGAAGCGGGGGAGCCCTGGAGATTTTCCCAGGGTTTTCTCTGGTTTGGGCGTGTACCAGCAGCAAGAGCTGCTGGTTCAAAAGTCACTCACTGGGGCCTCTTATTGGAAGCTCTTAGCAGCAAATAAATATCATTTATCTTAACAGTGTGAGTGAGAGCCCATTCACCTGTCGGGGCTGCAGGATTGATGTGGCATCAATAGCCCCAGTGTGTTTGCCTGCCAACCTGTTGGGTGCCCCCCTGCTCTGTGCTGCACCCCTGTGCAGTGGGGGCTGCACATACAGACATCTGTGAGCACATGGGGCTGCACACCCCCTGCTCGTGGCTCACCAGTGGCATGCCAGCTGCGGGTGCTGCGCGGGGCCAGCTGTCCTTACCTGCTTAGGACACCAAAGGAGCTGCAGCTGGCACAGGCACAGCAAGGCCGGGCAAGCTTGGCAGCTGTTCAGCCAAGAGCCAGCTGAGTGCCAGCCAGGTGTGAGCAAACACGTGGGCTGTGTCTTGGAAGGAAATCGATAGCAGATAAGGTGCTGCCGGCCCATCGGGCAGTGATTAGCAGCACGGAAGGGGCAGGAGTGAGGCTGCTGAAGGGATCCCCTCCCTGCAGGCAGCACCTGCAACAGGCTGCTGGCAGAGTCCTCGCTTGGGACAGCTGAAGCTCCTGAGCCACTGGGACCTTTCAGTGGCCCTGAGCACCAGCCTCGTGTGCAGATCATCACTGTACAACATGCCAAGGCTCACACTTGGCTTAAAGCCCCTTTCAATCTCTCACTGCACTCTGGGCACTTTGCAAGGGGACCTGACTGCTCAGTGCCACTTTAACAGAGTTTAGGGGACTACTGTCCCTGCACAGGTCCCTGTCCAGCCCCTGCAGTGAGTGTGGGGCTTGTAATGCTCCCCCCTCAGCCATGCAGCCCCTCCATGGGATGGATTCTGGGCCAGGACAGAGCTAATGGACCCTGGGATGTGGGATGGCAGGTCCCGTGGGAGCACGGTGCACGGGGCTGGAAGAAACACATCACTGTCTGTGGACAGAGCCAGAGCTCAGCAGGTTCCACATGGTGGGAGAAGTGAGGGGCTGCTGGTGGGATATTTTTTTAACATTTTCTAAGCTGCCCAGCTTGGCTGACAATTTTTAATGTACTAACTGCCTGGTCCAGTGAGCTGATTAATTGGTGCTGTGGAGATCAATACAAAACAGAAAATTAAAACAATTTTAAAGTGATTAAGTAGTTTAACACCTGTCTGATGCCACGTCAGGGCTGGGAGACAAATAAAGCAGGTGGCAAAGGGCCTGCTGTAGCCAGGGAGAGTGACAAATGGCTGCTGCAGCCTGGCTGCCCCGTGCATCCCCACGCTGAGACAGGACCCCAAACAGTGCTGATCCATGCAGGGTCCCAGCCCAGCAGCCAGGAGCGACCCCCTTTTCTCCCTGTGCTGCCCACCGTGGCTCCCACTTTCTGCTGCAGCAGAGCAGTGCCCCATCAGCGCTGGGCTCTGGGCAGGAGCTCTGCCCAGCCTGTGCCCGCTGCCAGGCAGCCTCAGGCTGTGTGGGCAGAGCCAGGAGTGCGGCGCAGGCAGGCCAGCCTGGCAGGCAGATGGATGGCAGCTCCGCTTCAATTCCGCATCCCTTTTCTCCCAGACAAACCCCGTCGGATTTTCATAAATCAAAGCGCCACGCTGTTTAATAAAAATTTATTGACTTACAAGTGATTATTTATCAAAAGGCCATTAATAGCAGCTCCGGGAATGATGTGCTACTGGGTGGTGCGTGGAGACTAATAGCAAATCAATGCCAGCATCCGGGCAGAATGCATATGAGGGCTCCTGGCCCCAGTGGGGTGCACGGCTGCTGCAGCCAGAGCCAGCAGCCCCTACCCCGTGGGCCGCCCAGTGCTCCCCCCCCGGTTATTTATCGCTTACAAATGAAATGATCGATACTTTTAATCTAGAGCTAAATTTATTAACTTTCTCATCGGAGAGAGACGTATTGACTGGGGGCATGGGGTGGGAGAGGCAAGGAAAGATGGATGTGTGCCTCCTCTAACCTGTCCAGCCAGCTCCTTGCCTGCTGTGGAGTGTCCCGAATGCTGCTGGGGACGGTCCCCGAGCACAGCAGGGTGGCTGGGCATCCTGCAAAGCTGAGGAGGGTTCTGCCATGGTGTCAGAGACAGGGCACTTGTGGGCACCTGCAGCTGGATCCAGGTGCCTGAGGACACAAGGGGGTGGAGGAGCCTTGTGGCCTTCAGCAGTGCCTGAAGGAAATGTCCATCCCACCCCCAGAGAGGAGAGCTCTGGGGACACAGCCCTTGAGAGGGCTCAGGAGCAGCTGCTGAATGGGGAGAAGTGAAGGAGAGCCTGGAGACCCTGCCTGGGCAGCAGGGATCAGCAGGCAGGGATGTCCCTGTCCCCAGCAGGTGTGTCCCCAGCTGCAGCTCAGCACACAGGGAAGGGCCACCCTCGGTAGGCAGCGAGCACAGCACTGCCTCAGCAACCTTGGACTCACTGTGGCTCCCTCCAGGGCTCCCCAGACCACAGCAAGGTGCAGGGGTCTTCATCCAAATGGCCACCTGAGCTGGCAGCCAGAGCTTCCATCAGGTAAATAAAAAAGTGCAGGAAAATTCAGATTTAAGGCCACTTACACAGAGCAGCTGTCCGAGGCACTTAGGTAACTGCCTTCTCCAGAGCATTAGAAAATTTAAGCAGGCTTTAGCAGGTAGCAGTGAAACAGCTCTTGGTTTTAAGAGCAGAGAACCCAGTGTAAGTGCTCAAGTTTGTAGGAATGTAAGGAAAATGGGAAAGTACATGGGAGACATGCTCAAATGCAAGTTGTTTTACTGAATAATTTACTTGCAGAGCAGAAAGGGGCACCACATCCAGCACAAGATTTCAGTTTTCTTGCTACAGGTTGATACTATCCATGTGTGTGCATGACAGGGTCAGATGCCACTGTTTCCCTCAGGAGACATTTGAAAAGGGATTTGCTGCCCTAGCCATGAAGTCTTGGGCCCTCCTACACCAGATTCCTCAGGAGCCCCACCTGCCACTCCAGTGACACCTGGCACCCTGCAGCCCCAGGGGACAGAGGGAGATTTCCAAGGAGTATGATCCTTACTGCATCAGCAGCAGTGAAGAGGCTGTTAGTCAGACACTGTAGAAGCAACAGTCTGGGTCAAGCTGACAGGAAAGTGGCAAAAGAAAAAGATTTCTCCTGGAAGTGGAACTGAAAATGGCCTGAGAGGCACATTCTGCTCCTAAGGGGTTTATGCCTCACACATGAGGGGGACAGGCTCAGGAGGATTCCCTTGGTTGTCAAGGCAGCCAATTTCAGCACAGCTCAGCAGCTTTTGTGTTGTGGGAGACATGTGACTGACACACATGCACATCACACCAGTCCTCCCCTGGGGCTGGACACACCAGATGGAAGCACATGACACCATAAGAGTTTCATTTAATACTGCCCCTGCGAGGGGCTTCACTGTAACAGTAACAAGAAGGCATCTTTGCCATGAGCTGCCAAAGGCATCAAGACTCCAGGCAGCAATAGTGCCTCCGCCAAACAACAGCCAGAGGATGAAAAAGCGAGTCCAAGCAGCTCTGGAGTAGCCAAGTCCAAAGATTCAGAGTTGCTCCAGACAAGCCCTGGCTGGTGCTGGAGGCAGGGGCTTTGGCCAGCCCGGGTGGCAGTGCTGGAGGCAGCAGGCTCAGGAGCGGCTCCGGTCCTCGTGGCTGCCTACAATCATTTTGCTGTAGAGTTTCTGTTGCTCCTCCTTGAATGCATCTTTCACCTTCTCCCTTTTCAGTCCTCCATCCCTGGGGAGAGAGTAATTATCAGAGAGGCTGCAGGCAGGCATCATCTTCATCTGGGACTGTTCAGGGCAAGTCAGAGTTGCAGTGAGACCACCTGTCCCCAAAGGGCATCACTTCCTTACCTGGTTGTGCCACGAGCTGCCCCCCTGGCCCTGCACTGTGCCCAAAATAGCAACTCTGCCAGAAACATGAGCTACTCTGGTACAGCTACAGGAGACTGCCTGCCTGCCTCCTGGGCTCTGACACCTCAGTGCCTAGGAAAGCAAGTTCCCAAGCTGAACACACCTTGCAGAGTGGAAACAAGTCAAACCCAGGGCATCCCAATGCAAGCTACAATCACAGGATGAAGCTCTGATGCCCAGCATACACAAGAAGCAAAGACTTTGGTCTCTACTACAGAAGGACATTCCTCCAGAGGCCTGCTCTACCCTAAGCAAGAAACAAATGGAGCTCTACAGCCCATGAGCACATCCCAGGACCCAGAACAAGGAACTCTGGCACCAGGAAGAGAAAAGCCTGCTTGGACTCACCAGAGCAGATCCACAAGGCCCCCCTGCCTGGCAATGGCTGACTTCACTCGATTGGCAAACTGCACTGCATCCTCTTCAGGCTGTGGCAAAACAAGAGTGTTCAGCAGGAGCAAAGGGCCAAACTGGAAAGCAATCAGACAGGCTGGGTTCACCTCACCTGCCTGGTCATTGGGGGCAGGTACCAGACACTGCAGACGATGGCCCAGCTGGTCATCATCCTCAGGAGGTAGGTCACCATGCCGTATTTGCTGCTGTTCCAAAAGGCATCTCCAAACTGTGGGTCATACTGCAAAGGCAGAAGAGTTCACGGAAGTCAGGCAGGGGCTGCACCCTCTCTGAGGCTCCAAGTTCCACCCCAAACCAAGCTAAAGGTCAGCCAGAGCACTACATGGAGTGATCTCAGCTTTCCTGTGCCCTCAGACCAGGCTGGACTGGGCTGCCAAGACACAGGTGCAGACAGACTTGTGCCCTAGGAACATTGCCTTGTCATACCTTGATGGCTACAGGGTAAACTGTAGCTCCAATTTCGAAGCTCCCCTTTTTGAACATCATCACAGATGTGTTGTTGATGCATGTTCCTGTAAGAGACAAGCACAATCTTAACTCTCCTTTGCAAGTCAGTTCAGAAGTGTAAGCTACAGGCTTAAGGGCAGGGCAACAGGAACCCAGCAGCTCTCCCCTAACTCCATCCAAACCCTGTTCTCTGGGTCACTGGGACATCGTGTGTGACTCCTGCATTCTGGGCTCACTCAGCTCTAAAGACACAAATGTCCCTTTTGTCTCTCTCAGTGGAGGGTCTCAAGCCCTTGGCTATGTAAGAAGGAAAGGAACAGAGATATGGTGCTATCTCAAGGTGCCTCCTCCACCTGGTGCTTCTCTGGCCTTGTTGCACTCACCTTCTGGAAAAATAAGAATGGGCAGTTTGCTTTTGTCCTGGACATGTTCTGTGAGCCTAAACAGAAGAGTGCCAAAAATTAGCAGAAGGCACAGATGCTCTCAGTAGCAATCCACACATAATCCATACCCTGCAGTCACCAGGGACTATCAGGGTCCCAACAACAGGGGCACAACCTCCCAGCACTTGTGAGGCCATGCAGTGTCCTCATCCAAGGGAGGTGAGCAGCCCTCTACCTCCCCCAGCCTCCAGACCCATCCCTGCAGCCAGTCACACCTTCTGGCGACGAGGTGACGATCTTTGACCTCGGAACGCTCGAACCAGACGTGGGGACAAGCTTTCACCATGGCTCTCTGTATCACACCCATGAGCCCTCCATGGATCTGACCCACCTGAACAGAAGAAAACACAAGTTAAAAGATGCAGGCACACATGAAAGTCAAGGCTGTGCCAAACAGTTTCACAGCTAAACTGAGCTTCATCTTCCTGCTCTAGCCTGGAAAGGCTAAGAGGAAAAGTCCCATGCTCTGATTTGAAAGACAGATACAGCAAACCCAAAGTGCTTTCCCCATGGCAGGAGGTCCAGCTGGGGAAGCACTTTTTTCTCCCAGCAACAGCAAAGCCTAGAGCTCTTCTTGCAAAGCTGCATGTGGAGACCCTGGGGGGGGCATTCCCTGGTCTGGGGAGGCACAAGAAGCGTGCCTCAAAAAGCTGTCAGACCCCACTGGCTCCCTCCCCTGTTCCTATGTCTGTTCCTATGTCCCTGACCCACTCCTTCCCTATTCCCTGATTTGTCCTCACCTTTGTACTGCCCTGAGACCAGGGTCAGCCCCCAGGCCCCTGTAGAGACCCTCTGCATTCCTGTGTTCTGTGACCTGATCATCTCACCACACAGCTGAATTAAACATCTGTGGATATTATCCAAAGGTCCTTTTTGCCTCCTTACCCTGGACTATGCTAGCAGCAATTCAGACTGCTACAGCTGCACCCACAGACCCCTGGTGCTTTGAGTTCCAGGCTGAGCTTGCATGCCACAGACAAGAGTCTGACAGTGCCCCACCACACCATGCAGGGTCAAGTAGTTCTACATGCACAAAGGACTCTTGCTGCCCACCTCCTGCCCCATAACAAGCCTTGCTGCTCCCTCCATGCAGGCAGCCAGGCCTGGTACCTTACCATGGCATAGTAGCCATCACTGGCCAGGATGATCACATCAATGGGGGAGGTGTGATTGGCCACGCAGATGCCTCCGTTTCGGGGTCTGTTTTCTCTAGATGCAAAACAAAAGCAGGGGTGAAGGAAGGGGAAGGAAGCATGAGAGATACAAAATGCCCAGCATGGAGCACCCCCTGGGCAGGGAGCGTGGAGCAGACAGGACTTACCGGTCGTGGTAGGTGATGATGGCTGTGAGGGCACGCACGCAGATCCGGTAACACATCAGGTGGACGTGTTTGCTCAGGAAGTCCTTACACCTGCAGCCCAGGACACAGACCATCACTCCCCAGCCCTACAATATCCCCTGGAACAGTGCCACTCAGCCCAGCTGCCCCAGGCTGTGAAATCCAGCCAAGCCTTCACATCTGTCCTACAGAAACACAGCGTATCCTGAGCTTTGCTGTCAGCTTATCATCACTGATTCTGAACTCATGAGAATAGAATTTTGGCCTTTGCTCTTTTCTGTTATTACTCCTTTCAGAGGCCAGGGCTGAGCGCTCTGCCAGCAGCTTAGTGCTCACATCTAGGCCCTTTGTTTAAAATCACAGGGTGTCCATTCCTGAGAGACCACAGCTACCAGGACCACCTGCTGTGCCTGCAGGTGGTAGAACAGAAAGCTTTCTAGGGAAATTTCAGGATTATAAGGTCTCAAACTGCACAGAGTGCTCCCCACCTGCTTCTCCCTCAAAGACGAACTCACCTTCCATTTGGCAAATATCCCACCACTGTGGTACCAGTCACCAACAAGCTGATGCCAGTAAATGCCAGGGCTATCCTGCAGAAAGAGGGAAACTACATGCTAGCAAAACCAGGCCAGCAGCACCTTCTTGGCAGGCAGGTGCTGGCAGCAGGACTCACCTGAGGGGCAGAAGGAAGCAGTAGCGGACGAGCACACCAAGTCCCCAGAGCACAGTGAGGCGCAGGCTGATGTACTGGAAGTTGTAGTTGGTCCTGCTGAGCAGGTTCCAGGACTCCAGCTCTTCAGCTGAGAATCTCTTGGTCACTTCATCATCCATGATGGTCTCGATGCCTTTGCGGCAGAAGTAGAAGATGTCTGAGAGCTCAAACTCAGGGGTGTCCAGGGCTTTGCCGCTGCCACTGCGGCGGATCTCCTTGATCTCCTCCTCCAGTGACGTTGGCTCCTTTGCAATGATACCTGCAACACACCGCAGGCAGCTCTGAGCAAACTGTGACTTGCCCACTCAAAGAGAGACAAAAGCCAAGGCCCTTCCTCACCCGCCCTCCTCAGGGTCCCCCCCTTCCTTTCTCCAGTCCAGACAGGCATGAACCTCCCCACTATCCAGAAATTAAGCACTCCCAAGGTGCTTCCCTGCCCTCCCTAGAATTCCCTCCTACATGGAAAAGACTTCCCAGCAGACCTCAGCTGCTCAGAGACACTACATTTACCCCACTTCCCCCCAAAAATTTTGAACTCCATGTAGCCATGCAGGGTAGGATCTCACCATTGACATAGGGCTTGTACAATGGATGGTTCTTCTCCTTGGCACCACGCTCTATTCTCAGTGTTGCCCACTGCAAGACAGACAGCACAACCAAGATTGGCAAGGCCTTTAGCTCCACACTACTGCCCATTTTAGAGCTGACTTTCAGGAAGGACCATAGTGCAGGAGAGAAGATGGGGCTAAAGCAGGGTTCCCATACAGAACAGAAAGAGTGAGTGATGAACCCAGCTGAACTGAGGTGGAAGCAGGGGCTGGCCTGGGAAACAGGGAGTGCCAGAGGGAAGCAGAGTGCTCAGTGATGAGATGGCACAGCAAGGTTTTCTGCTGTTTCTGTGACCTCTCAGCTCTGCTGCACCTTGCACGTGGTTGCCACTGCA